AACACCCCATCTATACGCCCTTGATATGAAAAAATTATGAAATGTTCCTTTAAGACAAATCCAATTCGGAAAATATGTTACAGTCTAAAAAACAAAATATGCGTTGGTTGATCTAGCTTTCCATCCTTCTTTCAAAAAATATTTCCACAAATGACATAAGCCGTAGAGGGATAGTCTAGCTCTGTTGCAGAAATGTTGATTTTTCAAAAACTTTAAAATTGTAAATTTTTTAAAATAAAATTCATATTTTACCTTGGTTTAAGCTCTTATGTTTCGGAGAAGTATTGTTCTGCCCATCGGATAATTTTTCAAGCTTACTGATAATCGTGTAACTTCTCAGTTTGCAGTTTTATACAACGAATCTTTCATGCTATGGTATAGAAAAACTGTCTACTGTTTACATACCCCAGATCTGTGTACATAGATGCCGCAACTCTCATTTATCCGATGTACTGTATGTCACTACATGATCTATACATAACACCGATTCCCTTCTGTCCCTGATCTCTGTCCTTATTGCAAAGACGACGGATTACATCCCTTGAGAAAAACTAAAAATGTGAAAATTTCTTTTGACAGGTTGTTTGCAAAAATTTCCGAAAAATCTTTGCAAAAGTTGTGCAATCCGTTTCCTTATGTCATAGGCTTTCCAAAAAGCTAAAAATTATCAAAATATGACAACTGAAAGGGGGTCAAAACAATTATAAGTTACAGGAAAAAGTAGTCATTCAGGCAGTTAGTTTAAAAGTCAGAAAATTTCGACAGCCTCAGACCAATACTTTTCTGTAAAAAAAAAACTAAAGAGGGGGGTTCAACTTGGCCCCCCCCCCCCCCCCCCACCGAAGGGATAGGGTTTTCAAACTTCGATCATAAATTGCAAATGTCCAGATTGAGGCGTATTATAAGCATGATCAAATAAGGAACCTGGAAAGGCATGTAGGCAAGACCTAGATCAATAACTCAAGTTTTTACTTGCTGACGATACAGATTTTACATATCAAGGTGTTTCAACAAAATTTTCAAACAAATATTTCAAAGCTATTCAATTTTTCTTTTAGAAATTTATTTACTCAAATGGAGACATATTAGAAAAAAAATATTAGCAGCTTATACGTTTTGAATTATTTTGTTCGATATGTTTAACTATACGAGATAGAGGGATAGTTTGTTAGACAGGAAGTGAAAGAGGAATTAGTACAGGTATATGCTGACCTACCTGCAGTTAGCTTCAAGCCTTCAACCTCAAATATTGAAAATGAAATATTTTTAGATCACACACTGTTTGAAGAAAAAAATCAAATATCCAAAAATGTTTTCGGATTTTGGACATTTTGTAAGAATTTGAGAATAAATTGTGAGGGCTTTTTCAAACTATTTTAAGCTGGGTACAGTTCAGTGTTCAAAAAATTATTGAGAGAATTTTTAAAAATTTTGTAAACATATGTAAGACAAAATGTTTTGCTTTTCTTAATAAAACGTTAAAATTTTTATATTTCTTCAAACAGTTGAAAATGAACGAATTAGCTATCTGTAGTCAGTTCACTTCACAACGTTTATAATGTGGAAGATATTGTCGTTTTTCTAGGTTAAAACGTGTTTTATTTAGATAATGCCTATAAGTGTTTATCATTTTTCAACAGCAAAAAGGGACTTTAAACTTCAACTTTAAATAACCAGTTTTCAAAATTAAGATATAATCCATACTTTTTAAGGGTACCGTCCAGAATCGGGCTTAGCCAGCTTTGATAACATTCTTTTTAACAGACCAAGAAAGTTAATTTATAAATGTGAAAACAATGTGATTGTATATTATATATTAGCTTCTCTAGGCCATCATTAGCTTCAGGTGAGTCTCACAATACAAATTGTTGATCAAAAAAAGGAAAAAGAAAAAAGTAATCAATGTTAATTTATTAGAATAAATATTTAGAAGTTATGATTATCCACTGTTTGTTCATTGTTCTTCAACCAAATTATCTTTTTTCGTTTTTAAGCATCTTAATGATCGATACTAATTTTCTATTTAGATTGCAATCTTAGAATTTCAATTTATTTCATATTTTTTTACAGTTTTATCCTTTACAGTTATCTCTTGTACTGCTATACATTTAATAATATTTAGAGAAATAATTAAAATCCGTAACGGAACAGATATACTTAAAAAATCAAGATGAAAAAATCTACATTNGTAAACACCGCTGACAATATTTAATCAAAGACTCAGTAAAAGTAAAGATCGCTGATAATATTTAATCAAAGACTCAGTAAAAGTAAAGATCGCTGACAATATTTAATCAAAGACTCAGTAAAAGTAAACACCGCTGACAATATTATTTAATCAAAGACTCAGTAAAAGTTAACACCGCTGACAATATTTAATCATAGACTCAGTAAAAGTAAACATCACTGACAATATTTAATCAAAGACTCAGTAAAAGTAAACATCGCTGACAATTTTTAATCATGGACTCAGTAAAAGTAAACACTGCTGACAATATTTTATCATAGACTCAGTAAAAGTAAAAACCTCTGACAATATTTCATCAAAGACTCAGTAAAAGTTAACACCGCTGACAATATTTAATCATAGACTCAGTAAAAGTAAACATCACTGACAATATTTAATCAAAGACTCAGTAAAAGTAAACATCGCTGACAATTTTTAATCATGGACTCAGTAAAAGTAAACACTGCTGACAATATTTTATCATAGACTCAGTAAAAGTAAAAACCTCTGACAATATTTCATCAAAGACTCAGTAAAAGTAAACACCGCTGACAATATTTAATCATAGACTCAGTAAAAGTAAAGATCGCTGACAATATTTAATCATCGACTCAGTAAAAGTAAACACCGCTGAAAATATTTTATCATAGACTCAGTAAAAGTAAACACCGCTGACAATATTAAATCAAAGACTCAGTAAAAGTAAACACCGCTGACAATATTAAATCAAAGACTCAGTAAAAGTAAGCACCTCTGAAAATATTTAATCAAAGACTCAGTAAAAGTAAACACCGCTGACAATATTTAATCAAAGACTTAGTAAAAGTAAACACTGCTGACAATATTTAGTCAAGGACTCAGTAAAAGTAAACACTACTGACAATATTTAATCGAAGACTCAGTAAAAGTAAACACTGCTGACAATATTAAATTATAGACTCAGTAGAAGTAAAGATCGCTGACAATATTTAATCAAAGACTCAGTAAAAGTAAACACTACTGACAATATTTGATCATAGACTCAGTAAAAGAAAACACCGCTGACAAAATTTAATCATAGACTCAGTAAAAGTAAACATCACTGACAATATTTAATCAAAGACTCAGTAAAAGTAAACATCGCTGACAATATTTAATCATGGACTCAATAAAAGTAAACACTGCTGACAATATTTAATCATAGACTCAGTAAAAGTAAAGATCGCTGACAATATTTAATCAAAGACTCAGTAAAAGTAAACATCACTGACAATATTTAATCATAGATTCAGTAAAAGTAAAAATCGCTGACAATATTTAATCATAGACTCAGTAAAAGTGAAAATCGCTGACAATATTTAATCATAGACTCAGTAAAAGTATACACCAACTTTATTCTTCTCATTAACTTTATACAAATACAGACTGTTGAGAATTAAAGATAATAGACTCAGTACACGTACAGATTGTTTAGAATTTAGGAATTTAAAAGACAGTAAAAGGACAGACTGTTGAGAATTAAAGAACATAGACTCAGTACACATACAGACTATTGAGAATTTANGGATAGGGTTAAAGACCATAGAATCAGTACAAATACAGACTGTTGAGAATTAAAGATCATAGACTCACTACAAGTACATGTAAGCATTACTAGAAAAAAACAGGACTATATATATAAAAATTGACCTAAAAGGCAGAAAAAAGCGATATTAATTGTACTTAATTCAAATTTAAATTGATATGCTAGAAAAGAATGTGAATCAACCTTGATTATCTAAATCTCAATCTTCTGTTAAAATGTTGGTTAAAATACATTTTACTAAATTTATTTGTTTTGAATATTGACCAATGAATGAAATGATTTCATGACTTTGCAAACAATAATGTTGCTGTTACATATTTTTATANCAAAAAGACTAAAACTCAAAGAGACTCAAAAATTTCTCCTCTCTGAGAAAATTAAAAGTTTAAATTAAAAAAATGTATGTTGTTGACGATCGTTATCGACCATACAAAATAAAAAAAACGACATATCTTCGTTAACGAAACTATAAACTATCCTGTGTACGTCCCTGTTTAGAATAAATCCTGCATACGCCGTTGTTTAGAATAAATACTGTTTACGCCTCTGTTTAGAATTAATACTGTTTACTCACCTTTTTAGAATAGATGCTGTATACGCCCCTGTTTATAATCAATACTGCATACTCCCCTGTTTAGATTAGATACTGCGTACGCCTCTGTTTGTAATAAATCATGAATATGCCCCTGTTTTAAATATATACTGCATACACCCTGTTAAGAATAAATACTGTATACGGCCCTGTTCAGAACAAATCCTGTATACGCCCTATTTAGAATAGATACTGTATACGCCCCTGTTTATAATAAATCCTGTATATGCCCTTGTTTTAAATATATACTGCAAATACCCTGTCAAGAATAAATCCTGTGTACGCCCCTGTTTATAATAAATCCTGTATACGCCCTTGTTTAGATTAGATACTGTGTACGCCCCTGTTTGTAATTAATCCTGTATACGCCCCTGTTAAGATTAGATACTGAATACGCCCCCGTTTATAATAAATCCTGTGTACGCCCCTGAATTTTATAATAAATCCTGTACACTCCCCTGTTCAGAAATTGACTGACCAGCAGAATGGTTCTAGTTACTGCAGTTCCTAGACCCTGGCTTGGTCTACAGGTAAACAATGAAATTATCGCTAGAAAGGCTGGGGGGTCTGAATCTATGTAAGCCTTAAAGAATAGGTTAGGGTTGAAATGCATGTTTATAGCCCAATTTTTCATGGCTAGCTCATAGAAAAAAATAGACCGATAACGTTAATTATTTGGGTGCTAGGGAGGGTAAAAAAGTAAGAACATTTTTTTTAAAACAAATATCAAAGTGTAGAAACATCTACATGCATTTTTGAAGGGCTTTTAAAAAATTTAATTTTAATTTTATAATTATATTATCATATTATGGCTTCTGAAATCTGGTTATACAATGCTAATTCTTAACAAAGACGATTTCGAATTCTTCACTTAATTTTATGTTTATCCTGACACCCTGTAGAGAGTGTCAATCGAATGCGAGTAACCCTGGATATCCTGGGACTAATGGAACACTGACTTAAGATGTGTAGATCTGCAAAGAAGGATTTAAAAGACACAAAGTCTTTGATTTACGAAGGACCAAAGCCCAGGAAGGAAACTCTGTGCATTATTTTAAATCTCACCAAAATACTATTTTTTAGCGAAATGAAACATCATCTTCTTCAGTACTTCTTTCCTCCTCTCCCTCTTCATACAGGTCCACCTACTCCAACTCACCTACTGCAACGCATAGGATTAGTTCAAGGTACCCTCAACTCAAAGATTAGGTAGTCATAGATGGATCATTGACGCGGACCGCCCTGCCTATCTAGCCTGAAAGTTATTAACTAAACAATCAGTGTGTCCAGTGTGTTCAGTGGTTCTGGGAGAACGCGTGGAACTTAGTAACATTAACTATGGAAATTCAAATATATTCGTTTTATTTTCACAATTGTGCTATTTTACATAAGCTTTACGGCACATTTAAACTTTTCAGACACTAGGTCGCGTCAACCCTAAATCTATATCTATCTGATCTGCGCCTAAACTACAGGTTACCACCAGAACTTCAGAGGAATCCAAAGAATTTATAAATTGTCATCTTAAAAATTTGTTATTTTACTGTTAGTTTTTTTTTCAGCATTGGATTTTCCAAGGTAATAAGGCAAGGAAAGTTAATTGCAGTTGTGTATACTCTGCGTACATATTGAAACCAGTTCTCTCTGGGCGGAATTTTTCCGCCTAGAGAGAACTGTGACCAGATTATTTCATTGATTTTTTATGTAAAAGATGAATCCCAAGTCAGGCTGTGACATCCGTCTTGTGTTTACATTACCGCCCAGAGACAGTACACTGCAGTACAAAAGATGCGTACACCTCTGAAATAACTTTCCTTGCCTTATAACCTTGGGGTTCTCCATTTTTTTGTTGTAAAATGACTAAGTTTCACGAAATATGCACGAGGGAAAAGTTTTAAAGAGCTCCATATAATTATTTAATAAAAAAAGAATATCTGCAGCATTTTAAGAAAACGAAATCTTATAAATTCAATCCATTTTTCCGAACTTCTTGGTTGCTAAGGCAAAATTGTCTTTAAACTTAAAGGAGAACTCGACATAAATTACTTAAAGGAGAACTCGACATAAATTACTTAAAGGAGAACGCGACATAAATTACTTAAAGAAGAACTCGACATAAATTACTTAAAGGAGAACTCGACATAAATTACTTAAAGGAGAACTCGACATAAATTACTTAAAATTACAGAATTGAAAAATTCTTTCAAAATTAATGAAAAGGTCGCCCCATCTACCAAAAAATGACAAAAAAGAGATTCTAAAAGATGTTATTTTTTTCTTTGATAGCAATCTATAGAATATGTAGCAGGACATATAAAGCTTTCCATGAAGAAAAAAGATATTTTTTTTGTTGAAAGGCATAGTGAATGAAAATTGAAGGAAAAAGTTCGCTAAATTATTATAACTTACAAGGAAAACTATTTGCTTTTTAGCAACATCAATTGTGAGTATTGCTGTGATGTCGTCTTCCCTTTCTACAGTTTTTTGGTTATCTCTGTAACATTTTCTAAAAATTCTATTTTCTTTAGATATGGAAAATCTCCAAATAAAGACTCAGGATACAATAAACCTGTAGATCGATTTTCCCAGGTACAGGGCTAGGCCTAATTTATCACACATTCAAAAAAACTTCTGAAATAATAAAAAAAATATTTTTTAACCTAAAAACTTAAAATCAAAATATGTTTTGCGTCAACTAAAGGGACGTAATTTCAAGTGTTCCTCCTTATATAGAGAGACATGGCCAACTCATAAAGGTTCCCTAAAAAGCTTTGTCTGATCAAGTATGCAATATATTATTATATATCCATATTTTTGTTCTTGAAATCTAAATATGTTCATTTTTGGTTTCTCAACAAAAGTGATTTTCGCATTTTTTGCTCCAGAAACAATGGATAAATGAACAGAATTTAACCATTTTCAAGCTAGGAAAACGACTTCACTTTTCATATTATTGAACAGATTTAGGATATTGTTGTTAATCAGGCTTACCTCTATAAATGGAGGGTCACTTAAAGTTACAACGACGACGGTCCAATTTAAAGTTACAACGACGACTGTCCAATTTAAAGTTACAACGACGACGGTCCAATTTAAAGTTACAACAACGACTGTCCAATTTAAAGTTACAACGACGACTGTCCAATTTAAAGTTACAACGACGACTAGTCAATTTAAAATTACAACAACGGCTGTCCAATTTATTATGTTACAACGACGACTTTCCAATTTAAAGATTCACTAAACTCTAAATTTTTTAATCCCTTTATCTGGGCAATGGTACAGTGAAACCTTTAATAACGAATACATCGAAAGAATTCATAAAATGTCGTATTCTTCACTCTCTGATAATGGAATGTTGCAGATATTTACTTTTTAATCATATGATTATATGGAACTCTTTAAAACTGTTCCCGCATATTCATGGCTATTTATTTATTTTCGCAAATACTGAAATTTACGTAATATAGTATACAACTCATTGAAAAATTTCAAGACAACATTTGATAAATTCTTCCGATGTATTCGTTATTAAGGGTTTCACTGTATAAACCCTTAAAATTTCAAATTCTATCAATATGATATGATTTCTTTAAATACTTTTACCATTTGATCCAACACAACTTAAAGTTTAAAGAAGGTCTACGCCATAAAGTTGCAATTACATATGAATTAGCTAACTATGAGAATGAGGGCTTATTTTTGTTAAAACTAACTAGTTTCAGGGTTACTTTCAATAAAACCCATACAGCAAGTTTTGTCTGGATAGGCTTGTGTATTATGAGTAAGTTTCTTAAGTTGTTTTGTTTATTAAATCAATCTTTCTCATATAGTTACACTCATCGAATAAATAGCCATGAATATGCGGGAACAGTTTTTTATTTAGGGTTTAACTTTATATAATGTTAAAAGATGTGCTATACACTTTTTCCTTTTATATTGATAAATTCATTTTGTGAAAATTCACCTCCATACCTTATGTGTGGAGTGTGCTGTAAAATTAGACACATGCAGTTGTTGTCTTTTATAATTAAATCAAAACCAAACAATTTCATATGATTTTTCAGGTGTCAGCTAACCCTAGTACCAACCCAGCTTCAACTGCTGGACGACAGCTTAGAGATGTCTTTAACTCTTCTCAGAAAATTCAAAGTCTGGAATCCAGTCTAAAACCGGTTCCAGATTTTATTTCGTTCCCTAAATCCGGTCAAAATCCAGATTCGGAGAATGCGAGAGACTATCATAAACCAGTTCCAGATCAAGAATCCATTTTTAATATGATTCAAAATCCGCAAAATTCGGCATCCGGTCTGAAACTAGTTCAAGATCCTCATTATCCAGGATTCCATCATAATCCGGATCTAGAGCATTTACATCCGGAATCGGATGAAACACTTGTTACAAAGCTTCCATACCCGGAAAATAAACCAAGATTTGTCGAAAGTTCAAAAATGAAACCACGTGTTGTAAAAACTGGTTTCTCAGAATTGGAAACTAACCAGAGAGAGAATTTTCGGTAAGTTTCCTGGCTTAACAGAAAATCTGGGAACAATTTAGGAGTTTTTTTTTGTTGGATTAAGGGATTGTTCATATTTTTTTGGAAGATGCAGATAATTCCAATCTTATTTTTACTCCAATCTTTTTATTATTGTTCAAAGCATGTTCCCATGAATTAAGTAATTTTCGTCGATCCTTTCTGTTGAAATAATCATTGTTTTTAATGCCAGGGAAAACAGTATTGATACGTAATTAAATTACGAAAAATGTTTTTTAAATCCTCAAAAGAAATTCAGAGTTTTCTAGAAAATATCTCTTATGTTTAATTTTAGGAAAAGCTGGGTGTTTATTATTTAATAATTTACATCTCCCCCCCCCCCTCCCCCGGTACCGAAGGGAAATATTTTTGATGTACTGAGTGTAAAATAAAAAAAATTTAACGTCAAATTAAGACAAATTATTTTATTCTTTTTGACACATTTTACTTAATGATGTATTCTTAATTCCCTATTTGTTTACTTTTCCCTAATTTAGCGCCTAAATCTCCTTTAGGGAGGGATGGGGGGGGGGAGGACTATTTTTGAAGAAAGTATCACTGATGATAATCCTCCAAGGATATCTATAAGTGGTAGACTTAGCTATCTTAATGTAGTGGGGTTTTATTTTACATTTTTTTACTAATTTTCTAATGAAAAAGAATTTTTTGACCCCCCCCCCCAAGATACACAACCTATGGGTTTCCTAAAAAATGTCAGCTAATTCGGTCCAGCCGTTTGACCAGCTATAGCTAACATATGAATCTATAAATATATTTTGCTTGTCTGTTTGTCTATCTGTCTGTCTGTCCAATAAACGTCCAAACGGCTGAACCGATCAGGCCCAAAGTTGTGTGGCACCTCATATGACCCCAATTTCAATTAAATTTTGAAAATCCATGAAATTTGTTTAATAAAATCAGCGAACTTTTTGGTTTGTTTTTATTTTACAATAAGAGAAAATGTTCACAATTGAAATAAATATAGATATATGAGCGAAGAGCTTATTATATAAAAATGATCCTCCAGTCCGATAATGGAAGAGGAGAGGGGGGAGGGAATTGAATTAATTTTTTAAAACCCCCCTCCTCCCCCTAGAAAATTGTATTAGCTGCCCCTGATCCCAACTTTTTTATGAACAAAAAGTTACAAAACTGAATTGTAAAAACTCACAGCGTTTTTGGATCATCTTAATGTTTCGCAGCTCTTGCACTTTTCTTCCAAGAAACGTAAAAATAATTTTTGTGTGGCGAAAAATTGAATTTTGGCCAGGATTCGTTCTTCTCAAGTTATTTGGTGACGTTGACAGATTAGGGGGAAAATATGTCATCAATATTTATAGATATTTTTTATTGCAAAACAGTCAAGAGTAGATATGATGTGGCCCAATATTAACCTGGTAATTATTCATCGTTTTCATTTAAACAAAGTTTAAGCCTGATGCCTTTTCAATATGGGGTCTTCCCTTTTCTATCTTTATATTAACAAAAATATTACGAATTTAGATAATTTTGATTTTATTAGATGAATTCAAATGCGTAATTTTTTTTTTCTAGATTCAATAAACTCAAAAACCTCTTTCTTTAAAATATTTAAATGATAGGCTATTTTCTATTTTAACTTTTAATTATTGCTCAATCTATCTTCGATAAAGCAAAAATAAAAACTTTCACGGATTTACAAATTTTTATTAATTTTCAAAATTGTAAAAGAGTAAAGAATTTTTTGAGAACAATTTTTGTAATTCTGGGCATCCATAACCCTTCCTTGGGGAAACAGACAAACAAACAAACAAACAGAACGACAGGAGAGCTGCAAAGTATATTTAGATTTGTAATTAAAACTTTGCAATAAACAAAAACTGTCCAATCCCTATATCTTTGCAACCCGTTTGCATAAACCTTTAATATTTCAAACTTATATTATTTTTTCTAACATAATTCATAATTAAAGATATCTAAGGTCTACCTACGACATTAGGTTGCAAAGCTATAGGGTTTGAAAACTCAGAGTTTGTGGCAAAGACTCGATCACTCTTAATTCTCATCAAATTAGGCTGGACACTTGTATTTTAAACCTTAAATGTTGTATATTTCTGATTTATGACTTGTTAACTTCGTTTTGCATGACTTGTAATCTGTGTGTAAAGCTGGCCTATACGAGCCTATTCAGGCCGAAATATAGAATTCCGCTCAAACACATTTCCGGATAAACTACTTTACTTGCAGTTTTCAGAGGATAGATCTAGTATAAACTGCTCTCGAGGGGGTGGTAGAGAGGGCCGGGGGACTTTCTTTCACTAAAATATCTTAATTTTATTTTTGGGTTATCAAAAACAATCCTTTTATTTAAATTTTGTCAATTCTGTTAAAAAGATTAGCAAAAATTTGCGAATGTATTAAAACTTGTTGCAGTTAAGTTGTTGTTGGACACTTTAAAGGGAGTGACCGGCAATGTATGGTAGTTGAACTGAGAATGTATAGTATTGTGCAGAAATTTTTTGGGAATCATTTGAGACCTATGAGAGTTTTTTACGGTGCATATTTGTTCTGAAAGAGCACAAATTTAATCTTTAGATAGATTGTTAATTTTTGAGGGATGATTTTGAGAATCGGTTTTATTTAACTTAATCAATAACGAAGACGAAAAATGTAGTAAAAAGTAAGCTAATAAGTTTTTTAGGAATATGTTGAGAAAATAAATATTAACTATTATCATTGAAAATAAGTAATCTTATTCATTTATTTGTTTCTGTAATGTCTCATTCTTCACAAACATTTTCTGTAGATTTCCCGGAATTGTTATTGAAAAGACGATATTTGATGAATTTGAAGAAATCTGCGTACAAATTAATAAATAATTGATTGATTTATTGAGAAATTTTCAATTGAGAAATATGTTCATCTAAACATTTAATTAGTTTACTGTAGATTTTTTTAACATTTTTTGTCTTCGTTAATTATCTAATTAAAAAAAATCGATTGACCAAACGTAACCATACAAATAGATTATTTTGAACGTCGAATTTACGCTCAAACTCAGTAATTATGCATCATTAAAACGTTTTATATGTCTTATAAATGAATCCTAAAAAATTTCTCCAGAATACTACATTATTAGTTCAGATATCTGACATTGCCGGTCACTACCTTTAAACTTATAAACTTAAACGAGCCCAGCAAGAAGGTTAATACAACAAATTTAAAAAAATTAAATCAATGGATGACAATATGCTCGCTGTGTCTTCAAGTGACACACTCCATTTAAGAAGGGGCGTGTACAGTTCACAACCCTTCATCTCATCAATACTGTGGAAGAGAAACCACTATAGAATAAAATAAATTTTTTAAAGAAATGAACATGAATATCTCCTTCATTAAAGAATATAGTTTGTGCCGGACATGTCAGTCCATGAAATGTGAGAGTTACTTTAAAATACGACTAGANTTAAAAGAGTATTGTTGAACGAAACTCCCAAGTTTCCATTTTGGGGTCTTAACATTTGCGTAGATTTTGATTTAAGAGGTTCTAAAAAAATGGAAAATATGAAGAAAATCAATAAAATAATATTTCATAACAAAAAGATTGATATCCACAAAACTGCCTAATCCCATTCGTAAAACCCGGGTTTTAAAACTGGTTTTCATAATGATACCCTGTCTTAAGTTTTAGGCTCTGCCACCTGTTATTCTATAGTATATATATTTTGAGGGTAAAACTAAGAACAGGTGCTTTATAATACTAAATGTACATGCAATAGCTACAGAAAAGAATTATAATGAGTTAGAGCGGAAACATTGCGTTGCGACAGTTCAAAGTAGACCCTGTCTTTAAAATTAGATGAGATTTTTTATAAGCTGGCTAAATCTTTGTATTAACCAGAGCCACTTGAAATTACTTCCATATCCTCTTTTAATTAAAAGCGACCAATTATAATTGTTATACAGTAGAAGGCGATTACGTCAAAACAATGAAAACGACTTTTTATTAAAGTTTTGATTGTTAAACCATTTTTTTCAAATTACAAGTAATCAAAGAGAAGCTTTTTTAATAGAAAGCTTCTCTTGACTTCTCTGTGTGTGTGCATCCATGCAGTTTAACAGATTGCTATAACAATCAAAATTCTTCTGATTTATTTTCTAAAGAACTAATAATATATATGCGACAGTATACTTCAAATACAACTGGACGGTGCCATCAAATCACAAGGATCCCAAGCTGCCACCAGAAATAAAACCAAGGAAATTCAGCTTGCATAAACAAACTAAAAATTGTCAATGAAAAAACATTTGAGGCGGGTTTTCATTGTTTTAAATTTTGTTAACATTTATAGGAGCTTCGAACTCCCTTTTTTTATTAAGACATTTAGCTTTTAACTGTTGCTCTTAAATTCGCCATTTTTATTCGTTCTCAAATTTTCGCAGATTTTATCGTTAAAATTTGCGCAATTCCAAAGAATTTTTTTCGTCTTTGCTGAGAACGCGATTTAAGAGCTTCCCCTCGGGTTGTAAAACCTTAAACCCATTTTCAAGAACCAATCATAGACCAACTCTGACGACAGCGTGTGTCACGTGATTGACAGCTTCCGAGCTTTTATGGCTCGACTTATGTTGTAGGGCCCACTGAAAAAAAACGACCTTGGTTGTTTTTCGTGAGTTTAAGGCTAAATGTTCAGTATTGTTCTCATCAAAACCAGGAATGCGCCAATTCCGACCACGCAAATCCGCCAAATTAAACCGATTTTTTTTTTAAATCAACTCTGTGGAAAATTATTTGCAACTAAATCTAAAAGCCCAAGGCGTAAATAAGGCCCAACGACAACTTAAACCCGATTCGTATTTTCTTGAATTTTTCAATCCCGGGTTTTGGACTAGACACCTTCCTGTTTCCACAAAATGTTTGGCAACAAACCCCAACATGTTGCTTTGCTATCCTTCCCGCTTTCTATACGTAAAGTCTATTCAATATTTTAAAAGATAAGTGAGAAAGAAAAAATGTCCATCGTAAAGATAAGCAAAGCATGATTAAAGAATGAAAATCAAGATCAGCAAGATACCAGCATCGATTTAGACAAAGGTAAAACTAAAATTGAATTTAAATTCTTTTCTTTCATTAAATTGATCATTTTTAATATGCAGTATAGTATCTTAATATAAATGATAAAAAGAAAATAACCTCAAAATGATCTGTTTCAATGATTTAAAAAACGTCATTTTCTTTACTTACTTCATCGTCTTCATTCAAAGTGATTAATACAGATTTGATTAAAAACAGTTTTATCAAATAAATGTGTCTAAACATGTTATTTTTAGAAGCAGACAACCCTTCTTTGCCAATTCCTACAGCAGACTGTGTTAAAATAAAACCAAAATGGGGGAAAGTTAGGTATTATCAATCAAAATGACCCTCCATGCAAAAATGGCAATGCCCGATTTAAAACTATACCTTTGAAAGCTTTTTGATTAAAGATTAATTAGATATCTATGTTTTTGTTTCTTTATTCTGTTTTTTGTCATTTGCAGTTTCTCTACGAATATGACTTGCGTATTTCTTCTTTATAAGAAGAAATAGAGAAACTCACAGAAATAAACAATTTTCTTGTCAGAAAAACGACAGTATCTTCCGCCTTGTTGATCAGATTAAGGTTTCAAGGTTACCATTGTACATCGGACATTGCCATCTATTCAAAATGAGTCACTTGAAATTACACTTACAGTCCCTTTAATGGCCGAATATAAAATAAAATAAAAAATTAGAAAATAAAGAAAATCATCATTTGTTAAAAAAGTTTGAATACGTAGTTTCAAATATCTGAATTAAGTATTAATAAAATAAGCTTTTAATAAATGAACAACAGCATCGTAGTTGAAAAAGATAAAGCTGATTTAAACGGAATATGGGTCTTAAAAGATTTTAAAAATGATCGGTTAAGAAATTAAAACAGAAAAACAAAACATTTTAATCTGTTCTTTTGTAGAAAGACATTTTATTTGTTAATTAATTTTTTCTTCAATTTTTTCAAAATTCCCAAAGATATTTTTCACCCCTTTAAATTGTGAGATAATAAACAGTAACAATCTTAACAATATTTAATTCAAAGAACTGAACAACACAAAAAGAACAAGTGTATATACACAAATGATCCAGCTAAAGGGCTTTGTTAACGAACGGGGAACGAAAGATTTAAAAATTCAAGAACATCCCCCTTTCTAGAAATTTTTTATCCAGATATTTTTTTTAAGATTTTGAATTTGATCTCGAACCAAATTTAATGAATTTGAGCTAGGTCACTAAAGTATCTGGTTCAAACTTTAAGGTTCGTAAAGATTTGAACCGACGGTGGGTGGCTCAGTCGGATCAGTATTATTTTGTATTGTTTAACATTTTACAGGTTCATTTTCGTATAGTACACTTTGTATAGGTAACATTTTGCATATGCAAAGAATTCTAATTTAAAGATAGTTATTTGGAAAGTGTGTGCATTTTTATTACTGTCTCTGGGCTGTAAAGTAAACACAAGACGGATGTCACGGCTTGACATGGAATGCATCTGTCACATAAAAAATAAATAAACTGTTTTGGTCATAGGAAACTATTATGTGAATTATCAAAAATTTTAAATTAAATGCTTTTATCCTCCTCGGATACTAGAGTAACGCTGATACATCTCTATTCTTGTTTACAAACACAGCCCAGAGAGAACTGGTTTCAATATGTACCGAATACGCAACAGCAACACTTTCCTTGCCTTATTACTTTGTGCATATGCAAGATTTCGTAAAGATAACATCTTGTACAGGTACATTTTTATTTATCCAATTTTAAAGTTCGTGAGCCACCTGCTCCAGGTTTTTGGGGTCCTGTTCTTGACTAGGTGAGCCATTTATCATGTATAGGCTCGAATTGATTTCCTGTTGATCTCTGGGTGGCAATCCTTGCCCTACAACTTCTGTTTGCTTTGCACAATGAACATTTTTTCAAGTACTATTTAAGGCAAGGTTATAATACAAGGAAAGTTAATTGCAGTTGCGTATACTTTGCGTACATATTGAAACCAGTTCTCTCTGGGCGGAATTTGTAAACAAGAATAAATGCATCAGTGTTCCTCTAGTATCCGAGGAGGTTAAAGCATTTAATTTTGATAATTTTGAAAATTCACATAATAGTTTCCTATGACCAGAATATTTCATTGATTTTTTATGTGACAGATGGATCCCATGTCGGGTTGTGACATCCGTCTTGTGTTTACATTACAGCCCATGAGACAGTACACTGCAGTACAAAACATGCTTACATAAACAATCCTTGCATTATAACCTTGATTTAAGGTATATTAACGATAGTTGCTGTCAAATTATGACATCCTTTCCACGAGTAGACTTATAGTATAACGTATTATAGAGACATATGGTTCAGGTTTTTGTAATTTTGCGGATTTTCAAAAATGGTTCTCACTTTCCTTAGTAAAATATTCGTTGTTTTCTTAACAAAATATCTTACTTCATCTTTACTATACGAAATCACATTTTACTAGTAAGAAATGTTACCTAAGCAAAATTTTGCCAATAAGAAATATTACCTTAGTAAAATGTTACCAATATAAAATGTTCTCTAGACGAATGTTATCAATAATAAATGTTACCTATACGAAATGTTATTTATAAGAAATGTTCCTTATGCAAAATGTTACCAATAAGAAATGTTACCCAGACAAAGTGTACTTGACGAAATGTTACTATATGCAAAATGTTACTTATAAAAAATGTTGCCTATTCGAATTGCAAGAAATGTTACCTATGTAAAATATTACCAATAAGAAATGATACCTAGACAATGTGCACTTGACAAAATGTTATTATAAGAAAATGTACTGAACGAAATGCTAATCCTTCAATTTATTAAATTCGGTCTTAGGATTAAACTTTTCCTTTAATTTAGAGATAAACATTGTCCTATAACCTCAGGACTGGTTCAAGAGGGAAGAGGAGATGCACTCAGGAAAATTAACAAACAAAAATTACAATTTTTTTCTCTCTGTTTTCGTTTTACTCCATGAAATGAAACAAAAAATCTAGTAATTAAAGGAATTAAGATGCAAAAATTGACAAATATATTCTTTTATTACAACATTTTATTTTTTATAAAACATTTCGTTACATAATCGGCCAATAACCTCAAATGTGATTTAAGACTAATTTTAAAAACTAAATATTTTGTTTAACCCTATTCCTGCGGGGGGGGGGGTCAATTTTCCCCCCCTGTAGTTTGTTTTACATAACTCAAAAAGTATCGGTCTGAGGCTTTTGAAATTTTCTGACTTTTCTTACATACCCAAAGCCCTCCCTTTAGGTCTAAAACCGGGCTTTAATACTAACTGCCTGAGTCCTCAGGCACACTGCCTGAATGACTGCTTTTGCCTGTAAAAAACTAAATATTTGTTTTGACCCACTTCTACTTGTCAGATTTTGATAAAATTTAGCTTTTTGGAAAGCCTATGACATAAGGAAACGGATTGCACAAGTTTTGCGAAAAAAAAATTGCAAATTTTTGCAAACAACTTGTCAAAGGAAATTAGCACATTTTTAGTTTTTGTTGATTGAAAATCAGGTTATTTAAAATTTTGCAAAATCGTTGCATATTTCAAATGGCATGGTCAAGGGCTTTTCAAAAATGTATAATTTTTCATTTTTTGGACAAATTTTTTTTGCAAACATTTTTACTATATGACTGGATTTTGCGTTTCTTAAAGTAGAGCACAAGAGCTTTCTAATGATGTATCATTTGTCATATTTTGACATAAAACATGGGATTTAGTGGGTGGGGTCAAATATCCTGGTTTTCAAGTACCCCAGCAGGGATAGGGTTAAACTTAAAAACGTTTCTTACTTTATTTGTCATAAGTAAAAGAACCTGCATTGAAAACTTTAGAATGATGGATATCGAGATCAATGCTTAATTCTCTCTTTTTGCTAATCTCAAGAATAATTTAGTCTTAAGATTAATTTCTAGTAATTAGAGATGCGCTCTTAAACTTTTGAAAACGCAGTTTTGAATTTTTCTGCATAATTATGGTGTCATTTCAATTTACCTAATGATTGATTGAACGAACGTAAGTTTTGGATTACCAAAAGAGAGGATTAAGAAGATTATCAAAAGTGTGCACATTGCAGATACTCAGATTAAGCGATCGGGATTAAGGATATTCCATTCTATAGTTTTCAGCTCTGATTACTCTAATTTTCCAATCCTTATATCTTGTAGTAAACTTCTGATATTTCAAACCTAGAATTATGTTTCAGCAAAATGTTGTCAAATCATGTAGAGCCCTTCAGGTTTACACTATTAGTGCCTTACAGATATAAAATAGATCCAACTAAACATTACAATTTGGACACAACCAAACCAATAACATTATTTGGGGGAAATTCACCAAAGTTTTTCCGAGAATTTATCTCAAAAAACTCTTGGGACCCATGGTTACTAGAAAAACAGGAGAAAAATTTAATAATTCTCGAGAAATTCTCCGAATTTTGAGAATTTTGAGAATATCTTGAGAAGTTCTATTGTGAACTAGTCACAACAACCTGTTCTCGAGAAGTTTCCAAAAAGATCTCCAAAGCGAGTCACCATTCACCATGAAGATAGAAAATTTGAAGAATTTAAATACTTTTATTTACAGGGAAGAATAATGTTGCATAATGTTTTCTTTGTTAAAATTAAGTCGTAAACAGACAATGAGGATAATACAGATGTTTTTCTGTCTCGAAAAGTGTTTATTTTTATTAGTTTCTCCAATGTGTATTTTAAGCAATACATGCGCTATCACTTTCGTAGTGAAAACAGACACATGAAAATAAACAGTTTAAAGGAACAAAAACATTGATATCTAATTCATACTTCATCGGATAAAGGATACCGTTGTAAATCGGACATTATCATATTTGCATGGAGGGTCACTTGAAATTACGCTTACAGTCCCTTTAAAAATTTTCTTTGCAGTCATTCCCTATGTAAATAGCAAATGAAAAGTTACTCAAATTACGTTGACTGACTCTTTAAACGTATTTGGTGTTATTTGTTAATTTTTACCAGACATTCAATATTCGATGAGAAGAAATATTCCTTTAAGAATCTCAAACTAACTAAGTCCACAACAGTCAGAGTTGGGCCTGAGGCGGTTAAATTAAAGGAAATCCAATATTTAATAATAAATATTCAAAACTTTCTTTTCAAAGGTAAACTTAATTATTTTTCAAACCCCTAAAAAAATTTAAAAATTAAAAATAATGTCACTGACTTTAAATAGTATTAATATTCGTACATGATCCATGGCCACAACAACGCTTTAACTTCTTCACTTTTTCAATATTTCTCCGACGTACTTTTTGATCTTTTTCAAACCCTTCCAAGAACCCAAACCATTAAAAGTAGAGGTTTATTTTTTAGTAGGCCTTGAAAAGTTAGACTTTGTTCATAAATCACACTCCCCAATCTCAACTCTAAGTGCAAAATCAAAGGAGGTTTAAATTCAATATTAACCCTTTTAAGACTGGGGTGTCTGAATCTATTTATAGACGGGGGAGGGGAGGGGGGGAGTTGCGTTTTAGACCCTCCCCCCCAGGCCCAGCTGTGCATGATCATAGCCCAGTTTTTCAAGAAAAAAGAAGCGAGACAAATAAATTTAATAGATCGGGTGCTGGGGAGGTTTTAAGAAATTGTCAAATGAAAAGGTCGGAAATGCTCTCCCAGTTCACAATCCTTTAATATAGTAATACTTTCCTTAAATACTGGTCATACACTGTTACCCACAAAGGATGATGATCAGAGACGATTGTACGGAATTTATTTAATCCGCTTTATTGCATTCAGGGTTCCCTGTCGGCCAAAACTGGTTTATTTCCTCCGGGATAACCCAATCAGTATAGGGTTAAACGTGTGAATTCAAGTTTTAAAAATATCGAATATTTTTATTTCCCGCCAAAATGTTGAATTACCATATAAGGAGGTGACGTCATCCAAGGCATTTGAAGACAGGGCCACACATATATTAAACGAGATGAGAAAACAACGCAGATCTCTTCAACTGGAATATGTGGCAAAGGTATGGATTCACTACAGGGTGTCCCACTTTAAACAAGATAAATATGTACAGGGTGTTCCTTTAAACATGATAATATACACTGTGCAATGTGTTCCTTAAAACATGATAATATGTAAATTGTATACAGGTTGTTCCTTTAAACATGATAATATGTACACTGTACACTGTACAGTGTTTTCCTTTAAACATGATAATATGTACACTGTACACTGTACAGGGTGATTCATCAAACATGATAATATGTACACTGAACAGGGTGTTCCCTTAAACTTGATAATATGTACACTGTACAAGGTGTTTATTCAAACATAATAATATGTACACTGTACAGGGTGATTCCTTAAACATGATAATATGCACACTGTACAGGGCGTTTCTTTAAACTTGATAATATGTACACTGTACAGGGTGATTCATCAAACTTGATAATATATGTACACTGTACAGGGCGTTTCTTTAAACTTGATAATATGTACACTGTACTGGGTGATTCCTTAAACATTATAATATTAAAACACAATGATTATATGATCATGATGTCTCAATGTGAATGAAGTATAAGAAAAGCAGACAACATTTTAAATTGGGGCATTTTATAAGTTTTGTTGAAAAACTAGATTTACAAATCAATACCGCAAATATTTTTCAAAACATTTAAAAATTATCATGCTTATACTGTTTAGTGGGATGCACTGTATACAAATATACATAAATGAGTGTCTACCCTCTGGATATTTGATATGTCCTAAGGAATGTAAATATGAAAAATTGAGTTGATTTTCAATAAATTTGTATTACTCACGTCACGAGTCAAATATGAGAATGACACTTTAAAAAAATCTAAATGTAAATAAATCGATTTTTTATGAAACATGTGGACAGGACACATTTATATGAAATATGGTTAAGTTCTGCTAAGGCAAATTTTTTCAATCCTACCCAACCATAAACCTTCCCTGGTATCTTTTAAAGTCACACTAAAATTGTGGGCCCGATTAGTTCAGCCGTTTTGATGTTTATAATAAGTTTTAAATATTAAAATTCTTAACTTCAATTCTTATTAAAAAAAAGACAAAAATTATTCCACTGTTATCCAACTACCCATAGATTAACAAAAATATAGATAGAACATTATATGTCGTCTTTTCAAGATTTAGGGGTTTTTCGTTCACAATTACCCCAAGACAGAATGCCCATAGGAGTTACTTGCATCCAGCGTTGAATTACAAGACAGAGAGAAAGAATGCATGTAACTCCTTCGGGCTTCTACCTCAGGGTTATTGTGAACGAAAGCCCCTAAATCGTGTAAAGACGACATCTAGTGTTATATCTGTGTTGTTAATAATCTATGATCAAACTCCTGACGAGACAAACTCCTGAAAATAAAAACTTCTGAACTACAAACTCCATAATATCAAATTTAAAAAAATTAAAATCTAAATTATATTCTATTCTAATTACACAATTAGGTAATTTCCTAGAGAACGATTTTTGGACCCCCCCCCCTCCTATCAATTTTGTACATTGATCTTATATGTTAGACATGGATATAATTGACCATGTGGCCGCAGCGATCGGCCCACTAACCTGTCCTAGCCGCAGCGCTCGGCTCAGAAAGTGTCTTAACTAACCTATCCCACGGCCGCAGCGCTCGGCCCAGAAAGTGTCTTAACCTAACCTAACCTAACCCTAAATAATAAAAAATAAATAATAATAAATTTGCTGGTTATTCTGATCATTGTAATACTTTCCTGCTTGAAGCATATTCAAATTACTAAAGATTGAGAATTTTTTCTAGGATATTTGCGGATTTTTTCTCCTAAAGTTTATGAATTTTATCATATTCCATTCAGAGAAAAATTTCATAATTTCAGGAGTTTGTCTTTCAGGAGTTTGTCTTTCAGGAGTTTGTATTTTCAGGAGTTTGTATTTTCAGGAGTTTGTCTTGTCAGGAGTTTGTCTTTCAGGAGTTTGTCTTTCAGGAGTTTGTCTTTCAGGAGTTTGTCATGGCACCGTTATATCTGTATTGTTATTAATCTAAATAATTACCACTGTAACTAGGTTAGTGTTCCGAAGAAAGTAAGCGGCTGGCGAGACAAACTGAATAGAAGTGATAGTTTAAAAAAGGTTAACGTTTTTTCCATGAACATAAATATAGCGTGTAAATTTTTTTTCATAATCATTTAAAAAACGTGTAAAGTTTTGCTTCGTTGAAATCTGTGGATTACATTTACACATGTTGGGTCACGTGCCAAGAATCTTAAATTGAAAATGTAAGCTTTTCAAAATTTCAAAATTTTATGAAATGTTATGTATTTTGCGTCATTAGTCAATGTATAGATAACTAAAATCATCTAAAGCTCATATGTTCTGAGGGTCGTACTGGAGGGTTTTGTTAAAGGGGGGGGGGGAACTTTTGGCGCGCGTCGAAATTTTTTTTTTCACCCTCTAAAAAATTCAAAATTAAATTCAATATTAACCCTTTTAAGACTGGGGTGTCTGAATCTATTTATAGACGGGGGAGGGGAGGGGGGGAGTTGCGTTTTAGACCCTCCCCCCCAGGCCCAGCTGTGCATGATCATAGCCCAGTTTTTCAAGAAAAAAGAAGCGAGACAAATAAATTTAATAGATCGGGTGCTGGGGAGGTTTTAAGAAATTGTCAAATGAAAAGGTCGGAAATGCTCTCCCAGTTCACAATCCTTTAATATAGTAATACTTTCCTTAAATACTGGTCATACACTGTTACCCACAAAGGATGATGATCAGAGACGATTGTACGGAATTTATTTAATCCGCTTTATTGCATTCAGGGTTCCCTGTCGGCCAAAACTGGTTTATTTCCGTGCTTAATCATTTAATTAAACCATCGGAATATTCTATTGATTGCATAAACCTAAAATCAAGCTTAAAATCGTCAATTTTTAGAGTTTTGGGTCGTCTTTACAATCTCATCCTTTGTGGGAAACTCGACTGTACATCTTACTCTGGTCACTCTGGTATGGATTTTAAACAAAATCCCAAGACAAATTGTAAATAAAGGGTGTTAATCAATAAATACCAAACACTTCACACTTTTTTCTCTTTTTTCAAACGATCATAATTAAATTAAGATCATAATGTCTCTAAAGTGTTAGGACTATATGGCTAATCAGTTCCATCCCCAAAAGACAAAGAACATTTATTAAGAGCAGGGTTAATCAAATCCGATAATTTATTTACCACAAAGTCGTAACATCCTAGAGACAATGTGATTTCGTTTTGATCGGGTATAAAAAAAAGGCCTCTGAAAACATTTTTTTACGTGTTAGGTTTTTAAAACACCCTTATAGGTAAGGTAAAATTGAAATAATTTAAAAAACTCAATAAAAATGAACAAATTGTTAATTGAAAAGAAAACAGTTTATATTTATGTTTAATTTTATTTGGCCTTGGGCTAGGGGGGGGGGCTATAGGAGAGGATTTTTAGGGGGTACACATGGCTTCCCGGACTCTTCTTGTACACCCCTGGGTGTTATAAGGTTTTATAACCTTTAAAATAAATAATATATTTATAGTAACCAGCAACTTTAGTTAGTTTCCTTAAAATATCAAATTCGCGAGAATAAGATATTAAAATATCTAATCATGTTCGTTAATATTCGATTACATTCGGCAAATTTTAAAAATGATCCAGAAAGATGATTTTAGGTCGATGAAACGTATTTTTATTTATCTAGGACGAGCAAAATCTTCAGCAATATTTGGGTAAAAAAAGAAACTCTATTACTAAGGTGATTTTAAAAGAATAAAAATAAAAAAAAATAAAAATAAAAAATAAAAAATATATTAACAGTGTAAGTAAAGAAAAAGAGAGGATGGGTTTAAGATGGATCGTTTTCCCTTTTTTGAAAAATTTTCGTTTCGGTTTAAAAACGACAAAGAAAAAATGAAGAACGAAACGATTGTTTTAAAAAACGAAACGAACGTTTTTGAAAACAACCCTTTTTTTACGACCGTTTTTAACAAAGACCCTTCGTTAAGGATTGTTAACGACCTTTGTAAAAGAAAATACATTTTTTTTAATCGGAAAATCTGAGGCCAGAAACTATTCGGGTTATTTCTCTCGATAACAAACCATTTCAGACAACAATAATTTCCTTATCTTTCGGAAAAAAATTTTAATTAATTAGTTTTTTTAAAATAAAGATCGTTTTAAAAACGATCATTAACTAAAACGATCGATTTTCTTAAAAAAGAAAAATCCGATAATTTTTTCTAAGCGATAGATTTAAAAAACGATATTTTTTTTCTAAAGACGAAACGATTATTTAAAAAAACGAAACGAAAAACGAATAACAACTCTGGATGGGGGGATGTCAACAGGGGCGTATTCAGAAATTTGTCCAGGGGGGGCTTACAATTTTTTTCTTTCCAGGGGGGGGGGGCTCAGCAACCGTTGGGGCCTGAAAACCCCCTGAAATCTATAGATTTCATTGGTCCAGGGGGGGCTTAGCCCCCATAGCCCCCCCCCTCTGAATACGCCTCTGGGTGTTAACAGGAAGAAAGTTAAATTTAAGAAAGATCATGTTAGGGGATCTATCTCTCTCATTATACACATGAAAGTGTTTTATCTTTTTAGACTTTTTTTTTTAGCTTTTTCTATTGTTCTATCTGATATCTATCTATAAATTTGGCCTGTCTGTCTGTTTGTTTGGGTGTTTGTTTGTTTGTTTGTATCCAATAAACGTCAAAACGGCTGAACCGATCTGGCCCAAATTTTTTGTGGGACATCTAGGGACCTCAGGGAAGGTTTATGAATGATTGAAATTTTAAATATTTGTCTCCATCAAAATTTGATCTTCATTAAACTTTTAAAATTTTGAAAATCCCGAAATTTTTTGTGAAAATCCGCGAATTATTTTTGTTTTGTTTTACGATGTACACAAAGAGAACATGAAGATGGGCGCGAAACGCTCTCTAAGGCTAGTTTATAATGTAAAATATAAAAAAGTAAAAAATGCATTCACACATTCAAATTAACAAAAGAAATGTTTTCAACTCTCAAGGATAAATAATATTTGCAATGATATAATGTGTAATGAAGGGAAAGCAAATAAATAAAGTGGTGCGATCAATTAATGATATAATTATGTTTTATCTAAATTTATGTTTAATTTCAAGGCAAGGGCGGTCCAACAGATAATCGCATTAAACAATGAGAGAAAACTAGATATATATATATATATCTATCTAGATATATATATATATATATATATATTTCAATAGATTTTTTTAGTGCTATTTATATAAAAGGTGTTTCTCTAACAAAAGTGTGTTTAGGCTTTTTAGCCTACTAAAAATCATATGTTTATTTTGTGAAAAAAAAGGCTTACAAAAACATTTTTCTCTATAATGCCGTTTTAACCTGCAAATTTAGGCATAATATTGGAAAAATTCCGAAGATATTAATTGCGTTTTCAGTCACTCACTAAACGTCGTTTTTTCTACTACATTTTTTGACTTGTATGTACAATGTTCATAAATCGTCGTTGAAACATTTTACTCCAAAATTCCTCAAAATACACTCAAAATATACTCAAAAGCCCTCAAAATTTAAAATCTTTTTTGTCTTTTAGTTTTTAAAATTCTCAACTCTATGAAAATGTGCAATTTATTCTAATAATAAAACTATAAAATTATAATTTGATCTTTTAAAATTTTTTTTAAAAAGGAGCCCGAGTACATTTTCGAATATTAAATCCACTTTTTATGGATAAAACGGCATTTTAGAAACGATGCCCCCCCCACACTTTAGGTATTATATTTCCAATCAGCAGTTTTTAGTCCATTTGAACGATAATTATTAGACTAAAAAGCCTAAACACAATTTTTTCAGAGAAACCCCTGTATAATCATGTTTTATCTTGTATACTCTTTTAAATTCGCAAACTTTTCCTATAATTTAATTTTACTTTCAAGATAAGATTAAGAGAAAAATAAATTTTTTGTGAATTTATTGTTTTTTTTTTCAAGTTGGCCGGTCATCTGAAGCGAAAACTGAGTATAAGTAAACCAGAAGGAACAGAAGAGAAAAACAGCTCAGTAAGATATTTTAAACCGATTTTTTTACCGAAAAGTTAAAGAGCGCATCTCTAATCTCGATCTAGAAACTAATCAAGAGACTTGAGATCAGCAAAAAGGGATGACTAAGAATTTACCTCGATATTCAGCATTCTTAAGTTTTCAGCAATGACTAAAGAAAGCAAATGGCATAATTTTAGCAAGGAAAGTTGATGTTTTTATTAATTAAATAGGTGGTTGTTTGAAATTCTGCAAAGAGGCCGGCCCTTTTTAAAACTAAAATATTTTTGTTTCCAACCTTTTTAATTTAGGAATTAGAGAAGGATGAAACAGAATCTCCTCGCACCTTCGCCAGGAAATAAAATAGTAAAATAATATTTATTATTTGATTTTGTTTATTTTGACTTTTAACCATGGTGTCCAAATCGGAATACCGTTGCGCGGAATTGCGAAGAATTGCGCAGAATTATGCAAAATTGCTAATTATTTCACAGAATCTCCAATCTCCTTCAATATCTCTACTCTGTAAAACCAACCTCCTTCTATATCTCTACTCTGTAAAACCAACCTCCTTCTATATCTCTACTCTTTAAAACCAATCTCCTTCTATATCTCTACTCTTTAAAACAATCTCCTTCTATATCTCTACTCTTTAAAACCAACCTCCTTCTATATCACTACTCTTTAAAACCAATCTCCTTCTATATCTCTACTCTTTAAAACCAATCTCCTTCTATATCTCTACTCTTTAAAACCAACCTCCTTCCATATCACTACTCTTTAAAACCAATCTCCTTCTATATCTCTACTATTTAAAACCAATCTTCTTCTATAGCTCTAATCTTTAAAACCAACCTCCTTCTATATCTCTACTCTTTAAAACCAATCTCCTTCTATAGCTCTAATCTTTAAAACCAACCTCCTTCTATATCTCTACTCTTTAAACCCAACCTCCTTCTATATCTCTAATCTTTAAAACCATCCTTCTTCTATATCACTACTTTTTAAAACCAATCTCCTTCTATGTCTCTACTCTTTAAAACCAACCTCCTTCTATATCTCTACTCTTTAAAACCAATCTCCTTCTATGTCTCTACTCTTTAAAACCAACCTCCTTCTGTATCTCTACTCTTTAAAACCAATCTCCTTCTATAGCTCTAATCTTTAAAACCAACCTCCTTCTATATCTCTACTCTTTAAAACCAACCTCCTTCTATATCTCTAATCTTTAAAACCAACCTCCTTCTATATCACTACTCTTTAAAACCAGTCTCCTTCTATGTCTCTACTCTTTAAAACCAACATCCTTCTATATCTCTAATCTTTAAAACCAACCTCCTTCTATATCTCTACTCTTTAAAACCAACATCCTTCTATATCTCTAATCTTTAAAACCAATCTCCTTCTATATCTTTAAATCTTTTAAAACCAATCTCCTTCTATATCTTTAAATCTTTTAAAACCAATCTCCTTCTATATCTTTAAATCTTTTAAACCCAATCTCTTTCTATATAATTGTATCTTTTAAAACAAATCTTCTTCTACTCTATAAATCTTTTAAGGCGAATCTCCTTCTATATCTTTATATCTTTTAAACCCAATCTCCTTCTTTTTCTTTATATCTTTTAAAACCAATCTACTTCTATATCTTTAAATCTTATAAACCCAATCTCCTACTATATCTTTAAATCTTTTAAAACCAATCTCCTCCTATATCTTGAAATGAAATTAATTGTACGGATTTCAGGGATTATATGCAGCTTTTTCAAAGATATGAAAATCTTTTGAAAGCTTTTGATAAAATTACTTAAGCCGAAAACACTCGATTATCCAAAAGACCTTTTAACCAAATTCAATTTAATAATTTTTTACAATTTTAAAGATCTATGAATCCACTTGATTTCATCATGATGAAGGAAGAATATATAAGAAAGAATCCACCACCACCCAGAAAAGAATTTGTCAAGGAAAACAACATTTAAAAAAAAAGGCTACAGCGGTAACCAAAAAAAAGAGGAAGCTTTTGTCCTAATTTGAAAAAAAAACATCATTATGGTCTTGTATTTGTAACAGCCACGCATGCAACGATAGCAAGGGCCGATTCACAACGGTACTCTGAAACCTTTGCCTCATCAAGTATAAATTGTAGATAAATGTTTATAATTTTAAAACTGATCACTTTTATTTGTGGTTTCTCTACAATGGTGACAATATAATGCAAAATTACAATATCTTACAAATTATTGAATAAATAACGATTTCAAGGGTACAGTTATGAATCTGACATTGCCATTATTATGCTTACAGTCCCGTTATGCATTTTAAAAGCTGTAATAGTTTTTATTATTACAAATAACAGTTCTTTACTAGGCTGGGTAGTTTCGTGTTGGATAAACATATAATTCCGATTGCTTTATATCGATATCCACACTGGGAACTTTTCAATCCGATTGATCTTTTAATTTTATACATCTAAAACTTATCCGTGTTCTTATTGGTTGAACGTTAAATTCTCCGGCCTCTGATTGACGGAATATCAAATAAAAAGATTAGGTTAATCTGTGGATTAACAAAAGGCCGTGATAAAGCATTGATGTCATATCGGCAATTTACAATTCAATTGGCAATATTTTGAATTTTTTTCTTAACAATTGATTTGTAAAAGTTCATAAGAATCAATCTGCATTTAAATGGCAGATCATAAAATACAATATTTTAATGACAACTTTTTAGGTTTCAATTTTTAATTGTGAATTGTAGAATTTCCAAAATAAGTTTTGGCGTTATTGAGCAATAAGCGAACAAACGGGAAGATATGAGATGATGAAAATGTTGTTCTTGAAGGAGAGATCAGTTGAGAGTGAGTCTGGTAAACAATCAATGGAATCTGTTATGAATAGTTTGAAGAAAATTGTCAAAGCCATAAACCCAAGGTGAAATATATTCTCACGGTCATCCACAGCTTTCAAGCAAAAATCTATGAGATTTTTTCCAATCTATCGTCTAACTATTTCATGGTTTTTTGCTTTGTTTCCACTGTACTTTTTAAAAACATGAGCTGAAAAACAAAAGGTTTCTTGCTCTACAATCTTCATGGCTAGGGTTACAAACAAGTACAGATAGTTTAGTGGGGAAACATTAAAGGTTAATACGTTGCGAAAAATTTAAATTCGACCATGGGTCTTCTAAAAGATGCTTAAATCTATGTGTTCTTTCAACTCTAAAATGGGATGTTTCATATATTTTTTCTTCATAATTTTGCGTTAAAAGTTAATTTAAGATTCAAGATAAAAATCTGCTATTTTTTGCCTTTAAATTCTGCAGCAGATTATAGATTGGCACGCTATTTTAAAAGTAGTTCATATTAGTGTATATAGATTGGCACGCTGGTTTGGAAACACGCTAATTGTTTTTTCTCAGTAAAAGCCAACGCACTCAATTTTAAAACCTAACCAAGAACATTCCCGTGGTTCTACCGAGTTCCCGTGGTTCTACCGAGTTCCCGTAGTTCTACCGAGTTCCTGTGGTTCTACCGAGTTCCCGTAGTTCTACCGAGTTCCCGTGGTTCTACCGAGTTCCCGATCAAAATTTGAGATGAATCAGTCCAGCTAGGGGTTCATTCAAGCTATGATCGGACAAGCAGATAAACAGAGATTACTACTTTACAAAGTATCAATATATATAAAGTAGTAATCTCTGTTTGTTTGTTTGTATATCCGATCATAACTTAGGAACCCCTTTACCGAAAGATATATTTATATCATGTATACACTCTGAAAATTAAATTTTGGCTGTCTTTTATAAGCTCATCCATTTATTTTGTGAGGTAACCATTAAACTGAAATATATAATTCATATAAATGATTAAAAAAGGCAAACCACATTTAGGAATTACCATAACTTGGAGAATTTTGTGAATTTTTCTTCAAGCAGGTTATCTGATAAATGCCGCAAATTGCATTAAAACTCAAAGACTATACTTCAGGTCGTCTTTGTATTTTAGGCGGGAGTTTCCCAGTGATGTAAAGAAGAGAGAAGATGATGAGTACAGAAAAAGAGAAGATCAGGTAGAAAATGTACGGTACATATAGACGTCAGCGTATATATCAAAACAATGAAGACGACGATCGATTTTAATTTTTGAATTTTACCAAGCTTTTAAATAGCATGGATACAAATTTAACATGCATGGAAACAAAGTGAAGCTGTCAATTAACATCTTCTCCTTGCTTTCTTTCAAACTTGTAATTTGAAAGATGTTTGTTAGAAATTAAAACTTAAGTATAAAAGTCGTCTTCATTGAATTACTATAATCGCCGACCGCTGTAGGTCACGTAAAACTCGGGAATAGGAAGACGACTTATAGACTAAATTTATTATTTTAATTCTAAAGTCATCTCTCTTTCAGAGAGGATTTTTAAGCCACTTGTAAAACTACCTTAAAAAAGTTAAGGATGTAAAGTCCCACAACACTAAAACTGTGACGATTTGCAGCTTGCTTTTTGGTTTCATCACTCAATTGAGTATTCCGATGGCTTTATTATATGATTAAGCACAGAAATATGCCAGTTTTGGCCAACAGGGAACCCTGAATGCAAGGAAATGGACCAAACAAATTCCATACAATCGTCTCTGAAGGCTCATCCTTTGTGGGTATCTAGTGTACATATTTTTTATTTGAAGTAAAAAGAACTCGCATTAAAGGGACTGTAAGTCTAATTTTCATTGATCCTGTCTATGCAAAGAGGGAAATGTCTGATTTACATCAAATAAAATCACAAAATAGAGTATGCACTGTACGCTACAGTGTCAACATAGATATTCTTCAAAAATTTATAAACATTTTTTTTCTGTAACTTTTAGAAAACTTAATTATAGAATTGCTTTGTAATCAAGGATATATCGACAATTAGAATAGTTTCTGTACAGAAATTCAAGGATAAGTCCGTAGTCTTTTATCAGTTATAAAGGGTTTACAGGAAATATGTTGTAAATCGGACATGCCGCTCTACAAATGAATGGTTACCTAAAATGCCCTTACAATTCACTGTTATTTAAAGGTCTTAAGCTCTCAAGCAAAAATTGCTGAGAATTTTGCCACTTACCTCTTAAGAACTAAACCTAACTAGCCTTACAGTGCTAAAATGTCCATGTAAAGGGCTATACAGAAAAACATAAATCAAACCCAAGGCGATGTGACATTTCAAAGTCGACCTGTCTTAAAAAATGATGAGACTTTTTAAAGGCAGACTGAATCTATGTGTTAATCCCGTAAATATATAACAAGCATTGTTATTCTGAAGCATATTCTGTACTGAGTGTTAAACTGTAAAGCATGTAGTCAATAGGACAAAAAAAAGATCTGGAAAAGCTTTCTTTTGCAAACAAAAATCATAAATTTTGCAGACTTTTCTATTTTCACCTGTTCATTTTAAAAAGTTATGAAAACCTTTAAGTTTTTAAGCCAAAACTTTTAATTCTGGCTCTCAGATTTTTTTAGATAAAAAAATGTCGCTTGAATGATATTTGTATGTAGCATAACAATAAGAATTTAGAAGGAGGTTTGTTGTATAATCGAATGCATCCTTTTTTGGAACAATGTCTGAAACCTAAAAGTCAAAATTTGGAATTGAACACGGCTTAAATTGAAAAAATTCACTCGGTATCCAGTGCACGGATAAACTTTTAAATTGTGGTCAAATTCCACACAAATCTTTTAAGGTTTTAACTTTTCAAAACAACATTCTGTAAAAGTCTGGGATTTTAAACTATACGCTGAATGTTAATCCCCAAAGAAAATAAAAGGAAAATAACTGAATATACGATCACTTTATGGTTCGTTTTTGCATATGAAAATATTTGTCATTGTATCAATTTATATATCATAGAAGTAAAGCAAATTTGTATTTTGTAGAAGCAATAATTCGAGTCCAAAGAAAGTTAAGAATGCTCGAGAATTATGAGTAAAATCCGGGAACAGGAAAACCGGAATCCAGGAACCAGTCAGTCTCAGCTTCCTTAAGCACGAGCACATGTACTCCTGGATATCAGTATAGTTCATTTACCTATTTAGAATAAACCACATATGTATACTTGTTCTTACTCTTTGAAGTCATTCTTAACTTTCATTTAAACTCGAATTATTGCTGCTAAAATTTTGTAATATTGTGAAATCCAAAAGCTTTAAAAGTTGCAACAAACGAACCAAATATATACCTTACCTCTAAATTTGCCGACTAAGCCTGTTAGTTATCATGACATAAAAGTTTTAGACTATGATGGGTAAATTTTACATACTGGAGATAAATTATCTCATCCAACTAATATTCAACAGCATTAATTGGAGTTGTTAGATACAAATTAATCAATAAATTAAGCTGTGAGTGTGACATGAAAACATAGTTTTATCTTTTTTCACAATCTAAGATTTCTTCTCATCTGAATTTTAACTTAACGGAAAGGAATTTTTTTTTTGCAGCAACCTTAAATTTTCTAACCCCTATTCTTTGCAACCTGGTGGTGGTGTAAACCTTTTATATTTTAAACTTATACTTTTTGATTTAACAAAATTGATTGTTTGAAATATATATATATATATGACGAACTGCTTTTTTCCGTTTTTATTCTCCCTTTTTTGTAAAACATTCAGGGCAATTTTTTATGATCAAATGCAAATTAAAAATCCTTTGTAACATTTCATAATCAAAAGAGAAAAAAAGACTACTAGAGTTCAGTTTTTTTCCATTCTCTAAAAATTTCAGAAAAACAAAAAACTGAATTTTCTATTTCCAGAGAGCGAAGGTGTCTGCTCAGCTACGCGAAGAGATTTTAGCGCGTGCGCGGCCCTCCACCTGGGCATCAGCCTGCTCATGGGAGAACAGGGACCATATTTAATTATAAACAAGATGTAATTGAACTGCTTAGACTAAGTTGAACCACTCCTCTGTAAACCGGTCAGAAGCGAATTCCGGGGGCTTTAGGGGCTCAGTCCCCCCCCCCTGGGTCAGTGAAATATTAAGTTTTCAGATTTTTTTGGCCTCAACTGATCCTTAGTCATCCTGGAAAGAAAATTGGTTTAGCTTAGTCACGTAGTTTTATATTTCTCGTTGTTAATTATATTTGGTGACAGGATGCAGAAGTACAGAGGCGCATCCATCACACCCTTCAACTCATACGCTACCAGGTTAATCAAATTATTAGAGGGGGGGGGGTACCTGGGAGTAATACCCCCTCCCTAGATCACTGTAGTTTTGACTGTCAAATTCTTTTGCATGAAACGCGCTGGGTAACCCTTTTAAACACCTTGCATTTACTTTATTTTTACAACTTTTTAAATGTTTTGTTCATTATTTCAAATAAATAATCCTATTTTGTTCATTATTTCAAAAATATAATCCTAATTTCTAAATGCTTTCCAAATGTCCAATTGGTATCCTTCGGAAAAAAAAACAAAATCAGCGGTAGGGGTTGAACGAGCGGTTTAGAGTTGAACTACAACTTGGACATTTTCAAATTAGAAATAAAAAATTATTTTCTTAAAATAAATTTTAGATTTTCGTTTCAACTTATGGAAACACAAATATTTAATTATATAATTTTTGTTTTAACCGCTAGAATTACAAATTTTTGTAAAATCCACCACTGGAAATACATTTTTTTATTTAACTTTTCTCTACCTTGAACGGTAAAAAATAAAGATTTTTTACATCTCTTTTACGTCAACCGCTGTAAAAACACATTTTCATGGCAAACAAATATTATGAAAACACGTGAAACTCCTTGGTTGAGGAGTTTCACGTGGATTTTTATTTTAATTCTAGACGTTGAATACAGTTTAATTAGAGGAAAAAATCCCATTTTTCTTTTTTTTCTGAACTGCAGGGTGTCCCATATCATATTGAATCGCATTTAGCTCTAAATTGCGATTTACGGGGCTAATCAGAAAATTTAAAAAGAATGAATCATTCAAAAAATTGTATAAGCGTATAATATAAAAATTTGTATGCAGAAAATACTGGGAGATAATCTAATAAGATATGTGATGCTCTATTAGATGTAGAGTCTTAAATCCAGATCTCATCCGCTCATTTTACCACGACTTACGAGTTTTCCCCCCCAAAGCAAATAGATTATTAAGAACAATGGGTGGCAACAGAGAAATGTAACGATTATGCATGACGTCACAAGTGTCTAATATAACAAGGAAAACGATATTTTCTCACACTAGTTGACATGTTTTCCAAGATTAAATAAAAAAGTGTAAATAAAGAAAATAAAAAACACATAATATTGCACTTTTTTCACTGTAAGAGAAGCAATTTAGTGCAAAATTATCACTATTACTAATAGCTTTGTCGAGCACAAAAAAACGTAAGAATACAGCTGTACTGAGAGTGTACAAATGCGTTGCCATCTACTGTACTAGAATCTATTTGGCCCAAATTGTAATATGTTCAAAATTATGAACAATATGAATTATGATTTCCTTATTTTCAGATGGAATAGTCTTCAGGATTTAAGACAGGTAATAATAAAATATATTTTATGTTGCTATGAGAAAAAATGACTGCATTATACAATCATAAATATTTTGCCATAAATATTTGAAATTTTGATCATTCATAAACCTTCCCTGGGGTCCCTAGATGTCCCACAAAAAATTTGGGCCCGATCGGTTCAGCCGATTTGACGTTTATTGGATACAAACAAACAAACAAACAGACACCCAGACAAGCCAAATTTATATATAGATGTGAACGTCATTATATCGGTCTGAGAATGAAAACTTTTTGGAAAACATGCTAAATGAATTTTGCGAAAGGAAGCGAAAAATATGCTAAATTTTTTGAGAAAAAAATATGCAACATTCTCACCAAAATTTGAAAAAATTTGCGCATTTTTTTTTCGTGAAATGTTATCTTTATTTTGCTGGAGATCCTAGTTTGACGCAAGAACTCAGTTTCATGTGAGGTGCAAATTAATACTTAAAGGGACTGTAAAGGAAAAATGAAAGGGGGTAGGATGAAAGCTAATCACTTTAGCTCTTAATCGCGACACGTGAAAGTTATATCTGATGTTCCTGTCTCGAGAAATTGATCTACAACTTTGTCAAATTTATATGAAAATTAATATATATATACAATTTTGTATTAAAGTAGTGGGTTTAAAAAGATCAAATTCAGCAAATAAGCAACCAATCTGAAAACGAAAGCTAATTTTAAATTAGGTTTACTTTTATATTAGTTATTTCTATTTTTAATAGCTTTCAGCCTATACCCCCTTTCATTTTTCCTTTACAGTCCCTTTAAAGGCCAGCTTCTGACCATTTGAGTTTACTTGAGTTAGTGATTAACATTTTCAAATATTTAAAAAATAACTCTGTATATTTTGTTTTTGAAAGGTGGAAGAGGAGAAGAAGGTGGTAGATAAAAAAGCTGTAAGAGAAAGAATACAAAACAAGGTAACTTTTTATAAATAAATATATCACTTGCAAAAATTCTCAATTTTAAAATCCGTTCGTTTCTTTAGTTAAAGTTAAAAGAAAGATTACATACATTTAAGAATTGTCAAGTTCTCACTGAAAACAAATATGTTATGAACCTATCACTCTGTTGTTGCCTGCCAATGGCTTAGTTGCCATTTCTCTAGTCCTGTCTATTTGTAAACTCCAGTACAAGACTTATACTAGGACGACTTTTAAGTAGCTAGACGAATTAGTACTTTGCTATAGACTTGAAAAAGGACTGAGTCTGAAAGTAACTGGCCAAGATTGAGTGGAATAACGACACACGTTTGCACACAAAACTATATTTACAGGATAAACTATACAAGCTGTTGATCAATCAATAAATTCGATCTTATATAACACAACATCCACAGCTGTGGAGAATGTATTTCTATAAGACTCCTCTGATTTGATACTTGATAACCACTGGTAATATCTGGGGTCCAACATGGCAGATTACACTTCTTTCTACCTCTGCTTAGAGTGTTGTTAGATTCCCCTCTCCTGCAACGATCCGTGCCTAGCTCTGCCTTGCCTAGCAATACCAAAGAAGGGTTCAACACCCGTTTTAGCTTGGCAATTGTCTTGATCCTTAATAGGAGTTCAATACCCTTTGAAGCTTGGCTTGGATTAGGCCCAGATATGTCACACTACAAACATATCTCATGTGGGAGCATTAACAGTACTATGTCTATTGTGAATTCCCCTTGGTTCACAGTACACTTACAGACTTCATAACGGGACAGTGCAAAAAACAAATTCCGGCTATTATATGGTATATTTTAGGGGGAGGGGGGCTAAGCATTGGCTGGGCCTCCAAAAAACCTGAACACCAAAGATTTTAATGACCCCCTAGCCCTCCTGAATATGCCTTTGCCCGGCGCATAGAAAAGTGGTTCAATACAGTTTAAGTAGTTCAACTACTTCTTCCATTTTAATCTGTTTTATCATACATTTTTTGACAAACGCATATTGTGCAATTCTGTTTAACAGAGGCTACCTTTAAACTTTTGAATATTGAGTAATATTGTTTTGTTGTCCAGAGCAATTGAAAATTGATTATAATTTTAAAAGTTGTATCTATGTATCTATGATGGATCTATGAAAGTGAACTTGCAGATTTATACAGCAGTAAATCAAAGGAAAATGAGTTGATCTCTTTTCAATTAATTGAAAACACCAATATTTTCCACAAATTGTTACTGGTTTATATACAAGGGTTTAAGATTGTGAATTTGGGGATGTCAATTTTTAAAAGGAGCCAAGATGGAATTTAAAGAATTTGAGCCGCGGTTTAAATCTGCCAAAGCCTGTTTTATATTAAGCGCCAGCTTAAATCTTAAAACATTTGATACAATTTTAAGTGGAACCAACCATATTTAAGCCGTGGCTTAAATTTAAACCGCCGCTCAAATTCTTTAAATTTGGCCCTTGGTGAGAATAATCTGCTGTTCTCCTTGCTCTTTTAATGTTGTTCTAATTTTCTATTAAGTTAAACTGCAAACTTTATAAAATAGCTTTTATTTTTTGCGAATACTCCTGGCCCTTTAAGCCTCTAAGAATAATATCTGAAACATTTTATTTTTAAAAATATTATGGAATAAATAAAAATCAAAGTAAACAGATTAATTTTGTTTATTAAAACAATAAAACCCAAGTCAAAGGTTGAATCTATTTTTAGGTACTTTCCCTAGTAAATCAGCCTAAGGAGCGGAGATTAGAGGATTATTTCAAGGCAGGGCAATATTTCTTTAAAAATATTCCCCCCCCCCCTTGGGGAGATGAAAAATTTGTAATTAAATTAAAAACTTCCCCCTCCCCCCCACCCGTCTTTCAGACTTTAAATCAAAAAACGTATTCCATACTAGCTTACTGGGACAAAAAAATATTTCAAAGAGAGGGTGGGGAGATTTTTTTAATGAAATATACACCCATGTTTCAAGGATTGTGATCACAGAGATTTCTCCGTAAAAGGACGAACAAAAATCAAACCAATAGATTACCTGATTCCTGGTATTCTCCCAACCAGGAATATAAAAATTTATAAAACTTGACTTTCATGGCAATGCCATGCCCCCCCCAAACATAATTTTATATTTATGTATATAAAATTATACTTACTTACTCTAAATTACTAAATCAAAAATATCGCTTATTTGGCAGCAAAAGTTGGATGACTGCCAATAAGACAATTTTTTTTGTTAAAATACGCGATTTTTTTAAGCTTATTTGGTATCCATCCATTTTTTTACCCAAATAAGTGGTTTTTTGATTTTGTAATGCAATGTGATGTAATGTAGCTGGGGACAGACACAGAGCTTCAGACACTTCTGTGTCGGCTACTAATTGCACTCAAATAAAAAATATTTAAATCATAAATTCAAAAAAAAGATCTGAAAAGTCAAAATATGAATTTTTATTCTAGAGAAATAATTCTTGCTCTGGAGGCCGTAGAGTACAGGTTTATATTTTATTTTAAAAAAAATATTTTGTTTTGATTTAAAAAAAATTTAATTAAATTTGTACCAGTCAAATTCTTGCATTATTAAATTTGCATAGCTAGTACCCAATACAAATTTGGATAAAATTTAAGTATAATTTGTGTTAACAAATACTATTTAAAGAAAGAGTGTTAAAAGATATTATTTAGAAGAAGAAAGCTAACAAATATTATTAAGGAGAACATAGTTATCAGATATTATTCAGGAGAAGAGAGTTAACATATATTATTCAGGAGAAGAGAGTTAACAGATATTATTCAGGAGAACAGAGTTAACAGATATTATTAAGGAGAAGAGAGTTAACATATATTATTCAGAAGAAGAGAGTTAACAGATATTATTCAGGAGAACAGAGTTAACAGATATTATTCAGGAGAAGAGAGTTAACAGATATTATTCAGGAGAAGAGAGTTAACAGATATTATTCAGGAGAAGAGAGTTAACAGATACTATTCAGGAGAAGAGAGTTAACAGATAATATTCTGGAGAAGAGAGTTAACAGATATTATTCAGGAGAAGAGAGTTAACAGATATTATTGCGCATTTTAGCAAGGAAATAAAAACTAAAAAGAAGGCGCACACTGTGAAGCCTATAGAGCATGGGAAGGGAGAGAAAGGAGAATCAAAATACAGGTATTAGTAAGTTATCAACAACTAAGTACTGAGAGTCCGAATTTAATGAAATCCACCAAAAACCGGTTTCAATTGAGGGCCGGCTTAAATCTTGAAACATTGAATACAATTTTATGTGGAATCAACAATTTTTGAGCCGCGCCTCATATTTAAGCTGCGGCTCAAATTCTTTAAATTCGCCCTCTGACCAAAGAAAAGTAGGGTTTAGAGGAGTGTCGTACTGCACACTTGTTTACAATCCTCCCAAAGTTTGAAAGAAATTTTTGCTTGAATAGTGTACTGCTTTAATAGTGTACAAACTTAAATTCAAACGTTTATAGTTTATATTTTCCATTACAAATTATTTAGGTCAAAATTATCTATGTAAACTTATGGCTGAAATGACCGGCATTGCCCGTGTAATTTAAAAAATCTAATTTTGAAATAAATAGAATTTTGATGTAGAAAAATCGATGTTTTAGCCAAGGCTACCCTTAAGGTGCCCATGGGGTACCTAAAAGAATGTCAGCCAATTTTTTCCAGCCGTTTGGCCAGCTCTAACATATATTCTTATCCATAGACACAGTGTTTCGTCCTTTTAGGACTCATCAATAAGAGCGAAGAGCTTTATTATATAGAAAGATAAACTAGTTTAGTTATGATGCTATCTATATGAATATCTACTAACTGAACTGCCCGACGTTGTCCGTGAATTAAAAAAAAAATGTTGAAGAAAAAAATAGAACTTTTAATTATAATAGATTAGATTATTAAAAAAAATCTATGTTACCCCCATGGGTACCCATGGGTTCCCGAATAAAATGTCCGCAATTTTGTCCAGCTGTTCGGCCAGCTATATAAGCTAACATATGTATTTATATATAACTAGAAATTCAGGGCGCTTCGCGCCCTTCTTTCTAGGCTTTTAGGGCGCTTTGCGCCCATCTTCTATTTAAACTTTTAATTTGGACTTTATCTGTGAGCATCTTCTCTTTGTACAGTATAAAACAAAAACAAAAAAAGTTTGCGGATTTCATAATATTTTTTCGCGCATTTTCAAAATTTTACAAAAATAAAAAACTTTTAAACACAAATTTTTTAAATTTCAATCATTCATAAACCTTCCCTGGGGTCCCTAGATGTCCCACAAAAAATTTGGGCCCGATCGGTTCAGCCGTTTTGACGTTTATTGGATACAAACAGACAAACAAACAGACAAGCCAAATTCATATATAGATATAGATACAAATATAAAAATTAACAAAGAGCTTTATTATACAGTGCAGAAGGATAAACTAGTTTTGTTTAGTTATGGTTTAGTGACGCGAAGTAATGCCCTGTGGGAGACTGTTAAACCTATAAATGTTGCTGTGAGAATGAAAACCGAAATGTTTTCCTCAAACCTTCATATTCCAATCAGGACAGAATCCAGAAATAAAATCTTGTTTTCATTCTTTTCATCAAGTTTTTTTAAATTAAAGTTGTGAAGGGTGAAGTCGTGAATCTAATTCTACCACTCAATAAATGAGGCTTACTTGAAAATAACACGTATATTGCAATTAGGGTTGTTAATCGTTTTTAAAAACGATCGAAATAGCAAATGTTTTTGAAAACGAACCACACGTTTTAAACTTTCAAAAAACGAATAGCTATCTTTTTAAAGAAATTGTTTGCTAATGAATCTGTGTTTTTTGACCGTTAATTTAAATTTTTTTATAAAGATAATGTTAAGAATGTTTACTATAATGTTTTTGTATCGAAACAAAATAACCTGAATGTTTTCTTACCTCGGATTTTTCAACTGTATTTTCTCTAAAAAGGTCGTTAACGATCTTTAACGAAGGGTCGTCGTTAACCATCGTTAACGTAGGGTCGTTTTCGAAAACGATCGTTTTTAAAAAAGATCGTTTGTTTTTCGTTTTTTCTTCGTCGTTTTCAAAACGAAACGATCGGTTAAAAAAATAAGTGGAAACAATCCATCCCTAATTGCATTTAACTTTAACAAAGCGATTTTTATATTAATGATTTTAAGTACACAAAATGAAAATATATCACATAAATAAAAAAGACGCTTTTAGAAGTATATATGTGCAGAAACATTTAAAACATTTAAATGTTGGTTTTCAAGCCACCATTTTCTTCATACATCGTGAAATTGTTCAATTTTCCGTATTTTTCTGTTAACATTTATGGATCTGCCAAAATTTGGTAAATCTAAATTTTGGGCCTAATTGGTTGAATCGTTTTATTGGACACAAACAAACCAAACAAACAAACAAACAAAAGAAGTAAGGTAAAATTATTTATTTCTGGATTTTCAGAGCAAAAGTATCTGTTGACAGTTTATATGTTGCTATCACTACCTGCCCTGGCTCTGTAGGTAACAAACACTGGTGGAATAAAATTGTATTCAAAATTATTTTATTGGATGATTCCATTACAGAGAAACTAGTGTATTTCCATTTTATTTAAGTTAGGTTTTTACTTTTAGATGAATTTTAATATGGTTAAATAATTACATTAGAGCAATTCAAAATTTATTAGTTTTTATTTCTGCCTTTTATCAAATATTGATAAAAATGTACAAATAAGGCAATAGATTATATAAACAACAAATTTCTACATATTGGTAATTTAGGAAGTACACAGTACAGCGAACAGCATAAATGGGAACATTTAAAGGGATGCGCTCTATTCAGTATTGTAGGCACGTTACCCAGACTCTACCAAACTAAAATAATCTTTGAAATAAGACGACGACCTTTACAATACTTAAAATTGTCGTCTTAATGATATTGCTGACGGTGTATGTAGAGTCTGGGAGACGTGTAGGTTTATCTGAACCGGTTCTATCAATTGCGGTACAAAATAGGTATAAACAAATAATAAAATAAACTATGGAAATATCTGTCTAATTAATAAGAGGATGCAAACAAACAGATGAGTGCAAAAAATATAAAAAATGTTGAGGATAAAAGAATAAAAAAGTCGACTTTCAGATTACAAGTTATGACTTAAAATACTCCAATGAATATGAGGCAAAGCAATTGTTCAGTGTTAACAGATCAATTTCACTTAATAATTCATTTAATAACTTACTAGTAAAGTTATTTGCTTTGTAATTGTAACAACATTAAATGCACTGCATTATTGCTTTAATGGTGTCTCCTATATTTTTCTAGTTCTCAATTTAGTAAATTGTATCTTGAAGACATCAGTTTAAAGGGAAACTTTGTCATGTTGTTCAGGACTTATGGTTAGAGATGGTTAAGTTCGACTTGTTTTATTTCATTGTTCGAGAACAACCCCTTTCGTTAATTTTTCGTTGTCAAAATTATCGTCCTTTTTCTAACTACTTTGTTAGTTTTCTCACTGAACGATTGTTCAGTAATAAGACGATAGTTTTTTTTTAAAAATTTGTCCGAAAAAATCGTACGTTCAGTTAAAAACTAACGTTTGTGAAAAAGCTTATTCCAAAAATCCATCGTTTAGAAATCAAATTTTGTTGGAAAATTCGTTCTTCATTAATAAATCAATCACATTTCCAAGTTCAATCGAACAATTTTTAATCGTTTTTTGTTCGTTTTTAAAAACTACCTTTTTCAATTCTCTGAACGATCCATTTCGGTCGTCCATCATTTGTTTTTTTCTCTGAACAACATCATTTTTCACAACAAATTTAGTTTGTTCTCAAAAATTGCGTTCGTTAAAAAACGATCTCTACTTACAGTATTCTAATCTAGGCTGCTAGTTGTGTCCCTACCAACTGAAGAGGTTCTAGCCCAGGAACAAGCGGATGCAACTTTTACTAAATGTGAACGTAAACCTCAATCACAACTTGTCAAAGTAAGTAAGAAAATGTCTGAATAGATGCAGGGTTGACGCCCAGGCCCGTAGCCAGGATATTTCCAAGGTGGTGCAAAAAGGCGCGCCACGGGCGAATTTTTTTTTTTTTTAACAATGCTTGGTTTGTTTTTACACTGGTTTATGGTTGTTTTTATTACATTATCAATGCACACTATAAAAACTAACCTTAAAGACTAAAAAGTTTTAAAAATAAACTCTGATTTTTTAATCCCTATATCTTTCCAACCAAATGTCATAGACCTTAGATATTTCTAACAATAAGGTCTGGTTAGATTAAATAATGGAAGCCTAAAATATGGATTAAACAGCATCAGATTCCAAAGATATAGGGACAAAAAAGTTTTTGCAAAGATTTAAGTTTTTTTTGTTTAATATGCTAAATTGTGATCGAAAATCGAAGCTTGCCCGGACAAGGAAACAATTGTTAAATAAGTGTAGAATATTTTTTTTGGCTCGAGAGGCCAAAACTTAAAATCTTAGTCTCCAGTCTAAGCATAATAATCTCAGCTCAGACATCCAATGTTAGATCCGACTTAAGTAGGGCTGGCCAAAGTTTTGTTAACACAGCGGAATTTTTGAAAACTAATGGAAGAGTCCGTTAACGAACAACCATAAATTTTGAATCAAATAGAATTGGGCGTTTTTGAAGAAATTGTTAACTGCAGGCACCGTTACTGATTTCTGAAATATTTGTTGATTAACAAAGTTAATATTGAGATCGTTAACAAACGGTGGCTTTAATAAAAAACAAAAAACATTCCGTTTTAGCTAAAAGACGAACAACTACCTGAAAAAATGTTAAAGGATATAACTAACCGGTAACGAACGGCTAGAAAAAAAGTCAGAAAATGTCGAGCCTTACACAAAAGTTTTACTCTATTTAACGGAGAAAGCTGTAACCCGTAGAATTTTGGTCTTCTATGTTTACAATTTGTTTGTTTATGTTTTAACTGTATACGGTTGTACTTTGTAAAACAAGAAAATTACAGTTCAAAAACGCAATAAACATATCCGTTCTACCTGAAAAAATGTTAAAGGATATAACTAACCGGTAACGAACGGCTAGGAAAAAGTCAGAAAATGTCGAGCCTTAACACAAGAGTTTTACTCTATTCAACAGAGAAAGCTGTAACCCGTAGAATTTTGGTCTTCAATGTTTACAATTTGTTTGTTTATGTTTTAACTGTATACGGTTGTACTTTGTAAAACAAGAAAATTACAGTTCAAAAACGCAATAAACATATCCGTCTGCATTGTGTTCATCTTAAAGAGAGATTACATCTTCACAATATTGCTGCCATTTACCGTTTTCATAAAATAAACTCTAGCAGACATTATTCGATTAAGGCTTTTGAAATCAAGTATTTCAATGCTAATTCTTAACAAAGACGATCTCGAATTCGTCACTGAATTCCCATGTTTATTGGGACACCTTGTACTACTGCAGATCAACTTAATACGGACTTTACGGAATATTTGCAATTATATTATCAATAATATCTATTGAAAATGCAAAATAAAAATTAAAAAATTATGATAGGAGCAAACCTGAGATTCTTAGGCTCCTGTGGGATATCGTTATTTTTAGATTGGTTGCATATTTGTTGAATATGATCTGTTTAATACTACAACTTTTATACAAAATTGCATATATAATGAATTTTCGTATAGATTTGACACAGTTTGATATAAATTTCTTATATGTATCGTTCAACTCCTGAGATTCTCAGATTTCATTCTATACCCCTCTCATTTTTCCTTTACAGTCCCTTTAACATGAGATCTTGAATATCATGACTTTAATTTTATAGATTATCTTCCATAATTATCTTTATAGAGAGAATGTAAACCAATAGTTTAATGAGTATAATCGAAAAATAAACCCACGTAAATATATTTCTAGAAGTGAAAAATATCGGATTTTTTAATGAATATTTTGATAAGATTCTTCATGTGTTTTATCTTTTGTATACAAGGTGCCTTTAAAGGCCTTAGGTATGCATGGTGTTCAGTTAACATGTACATGTACATGTACAATCTAATTATGTTGGAGCAGACGACTAATTGTAACCTCAGAACAACTAAAGATTATTTTAAGTTTATATTTAAGTTACGAACTTTATTTATTTAAATGTAAAATCATTGCTTGCTATCTTTATGAATTAAGTTAATGGGACTGTAAGCGTAATTTCAAGGAACTCTTTATTCAAAGATGGCAATATGTCCGATTCACAACGGTAACCTTATAAAGCTTTCACTGATCTAGTATGAATTTTAAATCCATGCTTTTGTTTCTTTAAACTGTTTATTTTCATGTATGGTTTCTCCGCGAAAGTAAGCATTTCTTGCTTATAAGAAACAATGGAGAGAAATTCTGAATTAAACACTTTTCAGTTCAGATTACGGGTTTAAGGGTACAGTTGTAAATCGATCATGCCATCTTTGTGAGGAGGGTCAGTTGGAATTACGCTTTATAGCCCTTTAAAGTTTTAAACAGTTGAAAATTAGAAAATCTATTTTTTCTAAAACAAACACCAAATTAAGACGATACTTATTCTGATTCATAGTAAAAGTTATATCAGCCTAAAAATGCACACTATAAACTCTACTTTTCTTTCGGTCAGTGTACTGCAGATCAGAGTAGTACGCACAGAAAGCTTAGGTTAGGGTGCGCAGATTGATGAAATTAAATGCAGCTCTGAAAGGCTATAAATTTCGATTATCCCTCCATGCAAGGATAGTAATGTCCGGTTTACATCGGTACCCTTAAACCATTTCTCTGATCATCATTGTCTGAGATAATTTCGTTTTTCTAGGTTTAATTTTGATAATTCCTATGTAGTAAGTAGTAGTATAGTAGTGTGTAGCAGTAGAAATGCGTAAGTCACTTTTGTAGAGAACTCACAGTTGAAAATATCATTTTCAAAATAATAAATTATAAACAAATTGATAATTAAATCATAATTGATCAGAAAAAGCTTTCAGGGCATTGTCAGATAGGGTCATTAACAGTCTCTTTAATAGAAAAATAAAGATTGACCCAAAAAAAATTATCTTATGTGCAGTATCTAGTGTGAAGGACTAGCAAAAAATCTCAATTTTTTTATTCATTGATTTCTCAGGATATGATAACAACCTCATCCGGATCCCTCAGTAGAATTAGGTAATATAATAATAATAATAATAATAATAATAATAATAATAATGAGAATTAGCTATTCAAGTTTTCTGTGTATATACAGGGTCACCCACAAAGGATGAGACTTCAGAGACGATTCTAAAGAATTTCTTCTCTCTGTTTTCTTATATTCACGATTCCCTGCAGCTTTAAATATTCTTTGGCAAGTAATTTAAAACCCATTAAAAGACTCTATCAAGGGCTGGAAACTTAATTTAACATTGGGATTGTCATCCTTTGTAAGTAACTCTGTATATAGACAAGATACAATGATGTATAAAAAATACTTTTTTAAGTTTTAAAAAATATAGCAAAATTTTAAAAAGTATAAAATATTAGTACAGTAATAACAAGAAAACTTTGGAATAGGAAGACGACTTTAAGACTCAAATTAAGACTTTAAATAGTCCAATGAACATGAGGCACAGCCATTGTGCATTTTGAACAGACCTATTTTACTTAAAAATGGACAACTTGCTAGTAAAGCTATTTGCTTTGTAACAACATCAAATCCACTACAGTATTTCTTTAATGCCGTTTCCAATTCTACAGTTTTCTTTTTTTAGTTTCCACACTCAGATAACCTTCAACTACTTTGATGCTGTTATGCTGGTTACAAGGTATACGTGGCGTACACAGGATTTTATCTTTGGGAGGAGCAAAACAAGATTAACACTTCCACCGAGGGAGGGAACCCCCGGATGCCATGAGCCTCCACCCTGCAGACACAAGCCTCCCATATTTTCTAGATAGTTCGAGCCTCCGCCATGCAGTAAGAGCCTCTGTTATACAGCACAGCTTCTTCATAACTTTTGGATTTTTCATGTTAAATAGAATATTTTTCATTTTTTCCTACAAAGTGGCCCAACTGATGATTAATGTTGTTGATTAATTGTCATGATTTTTAACTTATTTATGGACTTATAAAGTGATTTATGTTGTACAATAAAACAGTAAGGAGGCTATTTAAAATTCATTTCTGAATTGAACTTAGTTTATTTTGTTTTAATCTTTAATTTAAGCGCACTACCTATTTTTTTAGACTCAGATTATTTGTCAATGCTAAATTTTTGATTATCTTAATTCGATAAAAATATTTTAAAAAAGTATCGCTTAAATTTAAGATTAAAATATATCAAATAAAATTATTTTCTTAATGTTTTCTCTAAATGTTTTTAAAAGTTTTATAAACCACGTTACCACTCATAATTAGTCACTATTTATATCAATTGATTAATACTCATGATCATTGGAAAACCTTTTATGCCACTATTTAAAAAAACACCGAAAAATCTTTACTTCATGTAAAAACAATTTAAGGAAACTATTGTGTGTAGCGGAGGCTCTTACTGCATGGCGGAAGCTCGGTCTGCCTAGCAAATCTGGGAGGCTCATGCCTTTATAGCAGAGGCTCATGGCGTCCGGGGGTTCCTTCCCTCTCCCACCCAAATGATTTCAAAACCCCTAGCTCACTGAATTTGTGGCGTATCCAGGATTTAATCTTGGGGAGGGGGTTTTATGTTTGTTTTGCCCCCCTCCCCCTATATTAAATCCTGTATACGCCCTGTGGCCGAATTTAAAGAATTTGAGCGGCAGTTTAAATTTAAGCCGCGGCTTAAATATGGTTGGTTCCACTTACAATTGTATCAAATGTTTCAAGATTTAAGCCGGCGCTTAATTTAAACCAGGTTTGGCAGATTTAAACCGCGGCTCAAATTCTTTAAATTCCATCTCTGGTTACTTAAAATTGTAAGTGAAATTATAGGGGATAAGTAGTGTGGGGTTGTGAACTACTTAGGATACGACCTTTAAAGGAATAAATTTAAGCCTTGACAAATTTTCAAGTGATTGTATAACGTTAAAAATATTACTGGCAAAAAATTTAATTATTAAACACAAAATCATTCAAAAAAAAGTCTAGCAAAATAAAAGTGAATTTCTCAAAAGTATCTTTATGGTTCCCTAAAAAGACAATTATGTTTTCATTTTTAAAGTAATATTTTGCTTTACAAGCTGTTAAGAAAGGTTTATAACATCAAACAACAAAAACATAAAAATACAGAAAATGTTTTAATTTTATTTTTTGCTTGTATTATTTTTGTTTTTACTTTTCCAATTTAGAATTTTTCATCAGGTTTCTACGGACTAAAAAGAATGCAACGAGATATAAATGGAAGAGAGAAGAAGTTATAGCAAGGTATTTTGAAATTATTTTTAGGTTTATTTCAATCTCAACGTTTTCCCATTTATTTGTAATAATATTGTGAACCCAATCAGGGTTCATACCTATGTACATAATCTAAATAAAAGTTCATTGCTCCCAGTCATAGAAATGATACACATAACAAATGTAATCTAAGAATAAAGCCAAACAAAAAGGGTATTGAACTCTGGGTATGTCTGCAGCCTTAAATACATAACTGTACGGGGACAAGGGTACTGAACCTCTTCTATTATCTAGAGATACCACCCTCTTTCTTATCTAGAGAATTTTGCCAGCAGAGAAAGCAGATCGTCTGGGATCTTAGCCCCGGAGTTCCATAGGGAGTTATTTAGCACAAAGCATCCAATCAGAAGAGTTGAATGGAAATATTTTTGCCCCTGGCAAATATCTTGTAGATCAACTCTATTCGGTCCAACAATAATCATTTGTATGGTTATAATGTAAATATATTGTGTGTGCAACCATGCTTTGTTATTCCACTCAATCTTGGCTTTTTAGAACTGAATTCTTTTCAAGTCTACATGATGAAATGCCCAAATTTTCAAGTATGCCCTTAAAAGTTTATTCTAGCCAGATTTTTTTGTTTCACATAGCATCTAGCTGTCTTTGTGTATCGATTCAATACTAATTGGTAAACAAAGGCGACTAAAAGTACAATGTCAGAAAACCATCAGTTATTTGGGATTTAAATAAATCAATTGTTTTTTTCTGGGAAGAGTAGTAGATGGACTGTAGGTGGACTGACAAAAAAAGACATTGAAAAAGGAAAAGAAGGAGGGATTCATGCCATTAGGGAGAAAAAAGTTTTAATTGCAAATGTCAAAAATTCAATAATACTCCTTTTGCAAGGCAAGGAAATTGGATACCAATTAGTGTTTGCAATTTATATAAAAAGAGTAACAATGATTTTTATTTCCAGTATTATTAAATCCAATCATTGAACGCAACCTTGTAGTATCCAAATTCTAAGCCCATCTATGTATACTTTTAATGATAATAACAATAGACGTTGGACAAGCTGGTGAACCTGGAGATGCAGGGCAGAGACAAGGCAGAGGATAGACCAGGAGGACAGAGACCTCCTCACCCTCCATCATATTTGTGGAATATTTAGGGGCAGAACAATCCCGACCAGTAATTTCTCCAAAGGGGAAATAGTTCCCAAAAGTTAAAAACCCATGGAAAACAAGAGTTTAAAACAAGGTCAGAAAATGATTCTCAAGAATCAGGGATATTTCATGACTTGAAGTTTCAAGAAATAATGAGAAATGTATTTTTCTCTACAGGGAAATATTTTCAAAGATCATAGATACAGAATGTGATCTCAACCTTGCTGAAACAGATCAGTCATGTTTTGAGGGCGGACACCACTCCACCCTGAGGAATGGAAGCGGCCATGATAAATTCTATCATCAAATGATAAATGATGATAGAATCTGGAGTGGATATGAATCCAACCAGGGGTCATACCTTTGTACATAATCTCCTATAAGTTCATTGCTCACAGTTGGAGAAATGATGCACATGACAGAGGCAATCTAAGAATAAAGCCAAACAAAAAGGGCATTGAACTCCATGTATATCTGAAACCTTAACTACATAACAGTAGAGGGACAAGAGTATTGAACCTCTCCTCTTGTCTACAGATACCACCCACTGGCTGCCAGGTGCAAGGAAGGACGCTGAAGAAAAGAGTAACGTTATAGAGGGTCAGGGGTATTGAACCCTTTTTATCATCCAGAGGACAGCATTTATCTTGCTGGCAAAGAAAGCAGATTGTCGGCAATCTTACCCACTGAGCTTCATAGGGGATTAAGTTAGCACGAAGCATCTGATCAGAAGAGTTGAATGGAAATATATTCGCTCCTTTAATACTTAGATCAACTCTAGTTGGTCCAACATTAATTGTTTGTATCGTTATAATGTAAATATATTGTGTGTGTAACCATGCTTTGTTATTCCACACAATCTTGGCTTTTTAATACTGAATTCTTTTCAAGTCTATATTATCAAAACTGAATTTAAGATCATCTTTCAGGTTTTAAAAATGTCCCTAAAAAAAATCTTTTTGAAACTAGTTTGCACTCAAATCATGCTCAATTTCCTTTTAGCATTGCTTTACAGCATTTAGAGTGTGATGTTAAATAAGTTGTAAACTTGTAGGTAGCACCTCATAGTCTCACTCTAAAGTTTAATATGTTTACAGATTTTGGGAATATTTTGTTCTATTTAAAGGAACTTTAGGAGTAATATAAAGTGGCCTTCCATGTAAAGATGAGAATTTGTCAGATTTACAATAATACCCTGAAAAGATTTGTCTGAAAAAGTTTAAATTAGTGTAAGATTTTTGTTCCTTTTAGCTAACAATTTTCATTTATTGTTTCTCTGTGACATTTCTTGGTAATTAGAGAAACCTTGGATAAATTATCAGACTTAAAAACTTGTCATATTTTCCCTATTAAAGTGAATTGCGGAATTATTTTGCAAAAAGACGGGAATAAATTGACAAAATTGAAAAAACGACGAGATCTTTTTAATTGTTTCTAAGATAACCATATTAAAGGTACAGCTTTTAGTCATTCATAATTGTATTTGGGAGCTCACTTGAAATTACTATAACAGTCCCTTTAATAAATAAATAAATAAATAAATCTAGATTGGTTGAGGGAAGCTCCTCTGATGGAAGACGACTGTCTACTGATGAAGGATTTCTCTCCTACGGGACAGTTTAGAATTTCGTACATTCTTACACATTCATAGAACATTGTCTTTTGTTGTTTTTGACACTTTTTCTATTTATATCATATTATGTTTGTATATTTTGCATTTTTTATATAAAATCTAAATTAAAAATAAATAAAATTCTTATCTGTTATTTTTCATGTTTCTTAAAATGAAAACTGTGAGTGTGAAAATGAACCTTGTAATTTTTCTAAACAAATAACATCCAGTTACAACGATACCCACTACCCAGCCATTAACATAAATGTTTAAATAACGTAATTTGGCAGTGCATAGGTTTATTTTTGTGTAGGTAATTAGCTCAGGTAAACTGGGAAGAGTTTTCACGGGAAGCACATTTTAACCTTGTTTGCTATTTGCGTATCTTTGCAAAATTAAGTTTCTTAAAATGGAAACCTTTCCATTTCTCTGAACATAAATACTCCGGTTAAAGATGGCATATACCCTATTCACAACGGTACCAAGCCATTTCTAATATAGCTGATTATTAATGTGGAAGATGTCATTGTTTTCTTTACTTTCAGAGTGTTTAATTTGGTCAATATCCTCCATTGTTTCCAAGAATGCCGCTTAGCCAACATACTCTACGCCGCGGCTGTGTTAAACACAAAAGAGAAAACAGAGTCCTGAGAGGATTCATGGTTTAAGAGAAAACATAGAAAAAACGTAATTTTATCCCCGCATTTCTATCCAAACCTCGGACCATCATGGTTCAGGTTAATTCCTAGATGTGCGATACATTTTTTTGGAAACGTGTAATGATGTAAGGTAAAACTATTTTCCTTTTTTTACCATGTATCGCATTTTTGACCATTTTCGGGTGAATTTTGGAAATCATTAAACTTATGTTTAACAATACTTGACATAAATATTTTAGAATTCTGGCTTTATTATGGTCAAATTTTAAAATCATATTAAAAATATCCTGACAATTAAGAAACAACCCTAAAATGTTTTAACTCCAAGATTAGGGGGAAAAGTGTAAAATATGTACCAAAAAATACTAAACTTTTCTTGCTTGGCTAAACAGTGAAACCTAGAAAAATAATTGTCTTCATGAAAATATGCCCTTCGATGTCTTTAATGCACTTGAAAAATATCCTCAAAGCCCACAGAGGTATACACAGACACAGACACAGAGGTATACAAAGACATAACATAACATAACATAACACAACATAACATAACATAACATAACATAACATAACATAACATAACATAACATAACATAACATAACATAACATAACATAACATAACATAACATAACATTTTTACACTTTTTTCTAGTAAATTCCTCTCTATATATTCTATTCTCTATGCTTATTTGCCTTTGTTCCAAGGTGGATTGGGAATTGTCCCTTTTTTATGGTTGGAGATTTTTATTTTGCCCTTTAACAAGAGACTGTACAAATACTTTCCTAATTCATTGTATTATTATCACATGTCAATTTCCCTTGAGTCAAAAGTGGGTTGGAATATTTAGGTTTTTAAATATAATCCAACATGGAACAAAGGGTTATAATATTAAAACAAAAGTATACAAGATGTCAATTTAGCTCTCTATCCTTTTCAATGTTTTCAGATAAAGATAGGCATGGGGTCCCCAACATCCCTGTGGACTAAAACTAGTTCCTTGGCAAAACTGGTTTTCAGCCAGTCTACTATTGAACCTGTTTTTAACAACACTACTTTAAAGCTTGTACTCAACCATACTTTCCTTGAGTCAATTTCCAACCACACTAACCAAGAGTTTAACCACAATAACCAAGAGCATATCCACACTAACGTGGAGCATAACCAGACTAACCAGGAGTATAACCACGCTAACCAAGAGTTTAACTACACTAACGAAGAGTTTAACCATGCTAACCTAGAACTTGACCAAGCTAACCCAGAACCGGTTTCAAATTACACTTACCTGGACCTGGTTTCAAATTATACTGACCGAGAACCTTTGCCCCATCATGCAAACTTCGGTGTGTTCTTCTACATGTGTATCCTGATGCTTGTTTCCAATATGGCGAACAGTACACTCCGCAGTTACCGGAAATCCCTTCCGTTCCTTAGGATAAACCAGATTCTTCTCCTCAATGGATATCTTGTTGAGGTCTTCAACATATTCGTCAATCACTTGGTAATTCTAACTAACTGCTTGTATGTAGGGCTGGGCACGTTCTGACTCTTTTCAAGTTGCTTGTTAACTGTTTGATAAAACCTTATAGAGTTCCCTAACAACCTCACGATTGGGGGAGGGGTGTTTTCCATGGAGAGGACATTTCATGGATTAACCCTATTCCCGCAGATGTTTAGTTTGCCCAAAATAGACTGGGGGGGGTGGGGTGCCAGGGACCTTGCCCTCTATGTCCCTTTTTGTTATACAAATCTATAACATAATTGATACACTTTTGGCATAGCCCTTGGGTTTTTCTTTTATAATCTGCAAAAATGTGCAATCTGCTTCCTTTTGCTCAAGGCTTCCCAAGGAGCTATAAAAAGTCCAAATCCAATGAGTGTAAGTCGGTTCAAATATAGATTTAGTCGGGTAAAGGGAAAACAAGGCATTCAGGCAGTAGGTATAAAAGCCCCGCCTTGAGCCTAAAGTGCATGAGTTATATAGAAAAGTCTAACAATTTGAACTGCCTGTGACCAATACTTTTAGGACACCCCCCCACCCGCCGCCGGAGTAATGTTAAAATTTTTTTTTTCCAATTTTGTTCAGTGTTTTCTGACAATGTGGAGCTCCTCTGTTAACTACCTGCCCTATTCAATTGGAGTCATCTCCTCAGCTCTTATCTACTATCTTATGAACGCATCCATCCTCATCTCTATGGCCATCTCCCTCGTTAGAGCCCTGATGGTGATGAAGGTTGGTCTTGTTTTCTTATCCATGTATGTATTATCACTCAACCATAGAAAAGCAAATGGGCTTTTATTTATAACAAAATCCTTAAAAATTTTAATATTAAGTCTTTTAGTTAGGCACACACATTTTAAAAAATGTTGCAATAACTCTTATAAATGTGAAAATGTGCAAGGAGCTGGGATTTTTTGTGATGTGGATATTGAGATCAATTTTCCATCTCGAGCCTTTGCTAATCTGCAGATTGTTTTAACATTTAACTGAAGAAAAAGATTTAAACTTGATTTCTATATTTGAATATAAATAAAAACTAATGAATTCAGTTCGACAAGATGATCCAGCTTGATCCTGAGGTTTGGGCAAAACGGATAATGGGCTCAATCCTGATCCCTTTAGCCGTCCTTGTTGGGGCTCAAGCAGCTCAGTGTTACTCAGTAGGTAAAAATCAAACTTCTTTGTTATTTTATAATTTTAATTTTTGTTTGGCTTCAGATCCGGCCTGGATATTCATCTTGTGTAAAACTGCATAATCAAAAAAAATTTCGTCATCTTATAATTGTTTGAACATCTTTGAGTGGTAACATTGTATTAGTCATGTCCCTAGTTCTAGAAATTAGAAGTATTTTCTATATTCAATTAAGTAAACAATTTATTAAATTGCCAGGTTATGTATCTCCTCAAGAGTCCTTCTACACTGGTCTGGAGGTTTCTGACCAACCTAATCCTCATATCTTAACAATATTTATCACTGGGTCAGTTTCTCTACTTACAGCAGTTGGTTCCTACACCTTCATCTGGTATTATCTCAAGACCTACCATAACACCAGGGATTCCATTTCTGTTAGATATGGGAAAAATCCCTGAATAGATTGAGATTCTTTTTAAAATCTTGGTTAGCTATATTTAATGACAAAGTTACAATCTTTAATTGCTCCATTTAAGCTTTTCTACGGTAAAGATATTTTGTCTAGAAGCAATATAACTTTTAACCTACTAACTTTCCAATAAATATCCATATTGGACCTACGACAGCTGTTTTATTTTGAATATTTGATAGTTAGGTCAGGTTTAGACAATTTTTAGGTTAGGGAGCTGAGATAAAATATGTTTGGGTGGTGGTGATTACAAACTAAGGACTTCTGCAATCCTCCCCCTCCTCATCATAGAACAGCTGTTTTTCTTCAACCAATAGGAAGCAAACGACAATTTGTCCAGCCAATATGGAGTGAAGATCTGTTTCAGTCCCTTCTTACAGATTGTTATAAAAATTGTCATGCTAGTTTTAAGTGTTAAACTTTATGCAAAGTTTAAACAAATTAAACATGTGTTCAAGCAACTGAACAACTCAAAATGCCAGTTGGGTTCAACAGTATATGCAAATCCAAGGCTGAATAAGATTTGTTTAAAGATATGAATTTCAAATTCTTGAAAATTATTTTTATGTGAGTTTGCGCAAAAATTATTTTGTGCAAAACTGCCCAATGCAGTGTTGAAGTTTGCTTAGTTGACAAGCTAATATGTGCAAAATTTCATACAAATTTTCTTTCAGTTTAACCTTTAAATTCTCAATGTGGCCCAAAGTATCTTTTTCTGACATGCTTAAAAATCTTTACAAGTCATTTCTTTCAGATTAGGAAACAATTGGATTTTTCGCAAGATCATTCTAATTTTTAAACTTTATAACTAGTGAAAAACAACAACAATAGTAGCTTTGCCAAAAGTACTCACCACAGTTCTGAACTTGAATTAGTGACATCTTTGAGCAGTTAGGTAAGCTTAATAATGATTGTAATATTAATTCCAATGTTAACACATTTAATTTAGTCCCAAATTTTTTTTTCAACCCAAGACAGCTCAACATGGAATCTGAACTAGGATTGTTGAGGCAGAGAAAGCAAATGCTGTGAAAAACATGATCAGCACAAAATCCATTATTATCACCATCTTCTTCTCCATCCTTGCCCTAGTCCTCGTCACTGTCATGAGGTCACATGACCAACGTAGAACGCCAGTCAACATCTTAGGGGCTGGATCCTTCTTTCCTATCTACCAGGTCTACTTCTGTCAGAAGCCTCATATTAAAGCATTTATATGGAGAAGACACCAACACAGGATTACTGAACTTAAAACTAAAATACTTTTGGTTTTCAAGTTCTTAAGGCCTAACAATGTTGTTCCTCCACAAGCTAGACAAGCACGGTTAGAGTAGGTCCTAGAGGACAGTCTTAGATAAAGATAGCGTCGGTTTTGTCAACAAACTGAATATACCAAATTTTTTTTAGATCATAGGGGGGTTCAGAAAAATCAAGGTACGATTGTCATAATTTTATGGATCTGTCAGGCTGTTAAAGAACAATTTATAAATTGTTGATTTGAACAAACTTGAAAAAACTATAGTATTTAACAAAACAAATGATTTTTCAAACAAGCTTGAAAAAAATGGTTTTTAAATGAAAAAATGACTGTTTTTGAACAAACTTTTGAAAAAGTATGGTTTTCTTATTGCACGAACAAATTTATCAAATAAACCAATTGATTGAACAATTGTGTAGTTAAAAATAAATGGAAAATAATTGATAATTCTGAAAACTTATGAATTCAAATTTTCACTGAACGGCTGAAAAAAAAACTGATGAAATGGATTATAAGGGAATGATAAACGAACAAAGAGATAAATTTTATGAAAAAAAATTCAGATTTAAAAAAATAAATTTGATTTTTGAAAAAAAAATATCCAAATTATCTCCCCCTAGAAAAAAGTTTTGAGCAAAGGTATGGAGATAATATTCTATCTACAGTATTCTGGGCCAGTGTACAATTTCAAGATATGTTATTTAATGTACTGTCTGTTATATCTATTTTCATAATGGGGTTTACCTGTTTTGTTTAAAGTGTAGACAAATTTATTGATATCTCTGTCAATTCTTAATTCACCCCCCCCCCCTGAAACTCTTCTGGGGTACTTAAAAACCAGGATACGCGGGGGGGGGTCAAGATAGAACCCTCCCCTCTAAATTCCATGTTTTAAGTCCAAATATGACAAATGATACATTATTGGAGAGCTCTTAAGCTCTTCTTTTAGAATCTCTATCCACACATAGCCTTATCCCCATGCATCCCCAGAAAACTACGTCAAAAACGTGACACGGAACATTGCCTTTAAGCTGACCATTTCCTTAGACAACACACCAACCATTAATGACAACTTCCCCATCACCCTACCCAACCAATCCTTTTACAACACCAAGCCATACTTAATCTTCACTCCCACTGCAAGCATGATGTTTGCATCATATACTGTGCTCAAAACCAAACCAAGTCCTCAAACCACGACTCCAATCAGTCATTCAAGCCATAGAAGCCCAATCTGTAAGCATAGACATAGTCCAATACTCTAATTACATAATCCAATTCACACTAAACCAAACAGATAACCTAATTATAAAGTACCTGAACCCTCATCAATCCCACAATACTCCAACTAAACCTCATCGAATACATCAACAACTTCACCGGCCTTCCCTTCCCTCATCACTACACTCAACCTAGACCCTGTAACAGACCTCCTTCTTGAGAGGTCAGAAGAACCACACCAAATCGTCAATGGAGCACTCCATACCCTAGACCTACTCCTCCAAATACCCTGGATTACTCCTACCAGACCTACTCAGATCTGTTCCTACTCCTGCCAGAGTCCTCTCCAATGCGATCTCTACTCTTAATCCTTTCCATTTCTCTGGGATCACAGACTCTAGTATTTCTATCATTATTTGTCAACAACTTGTTGATATACCTCATGGTCAGGGGGAACAAAATCCTTAATCCTTTAGGGGAATGAATACCCCTAGAACGATCAATCTAGCTCTCCAAGGATTCCCTTATTATACCCCCCCCCCCCCTCAGCCCCTCTTCAAAATGTTTCAGCCTAATGGGCTATATGATCTATTAATTGTAGTTAGATGTAGAGACCACAATAACATGAGTTTCTTTGAGCTGCTCTAAAAATTGGGAGAATCATTCCCTGCTGGAAATATTTCCTCCTGCAAAAAAAACCAGCAGAGACTCATGAGATTGTTGTCACCCTTCTCCCTCGTAGTAAGTGTGCTAGTCGAGGTATACCAAAATATTTAAATTTTTAGTGTGAATGTGGTCCAACCTGGCGAGCATGGTTTAACTATTCTAAACTTTTTTTTGTTTTCCTTCAAAGGAAAAGAGTAGGGATAATTCACCCTGCGTATAGGTGGTTTAACAATTCCTCTGTATCAAAATTTCATAAACATTCTTTTTCTTACAAAACACAGCTCGGAGTGGTTTAACTAGGTTTGCATCATTGGACTACTACCGCACCAAAAATGTTCAAGCACGTAGAATGTTTATCATGCATTTTTTCAACTTTGCATTTTGTAGAATTTATTTAAACCTCTGTTAACAATTCCCACTCCAACTCTGCTGAGAAAAATTTCAAAATTATAACACAAAATTCGTTTCTTCAGCTTTCAAAGAGGTGGTTGAACCAAGGAACAATAGTTAAACTATTTTACCCCATACTATGATGTTTATGCAGTTATTCAGAATGTTTAATTAATAAGAATGAATTTCACATATTACTTAAATATGTATTAACAAACATAAAACACACATAAAATCTAGTGTTTAGAATTTGTTAGTATTAATATTCCAGTTTTCAGATATAAATCTTACAAAAGTTTTACATTTAAATGATTAAATTAAAATCATTTAAAGAAAACTTGAGATTGCTCGAAACAGCCTGTATGAATAAAGAAATACAACAATTCTTGAATGAAAAATTTGAGCTTATCAGAACAGCCTGTATATAAAAGAAGAAGAAAAAACGGGAGATTATATATTTCCGGTTACCCGGCGCCTCCACCAGTTTTTACGGGAAAATCAAATAGATTTTAGTACAATAGATGGCAGCGTATAATTTGTTCACTCTCAATGGGCTGTATTCTGACGTTACAAGTGTACATTTTGTTTCTGTGGTTGACAAAAGTATCAATATAGTGATAGAATAAAGTGCTTATCATACAGTAAAATAAGTGTAATTATATGGTTTCTTTATTTTCTGTTTTTACACTTTTTATTTAATCTTGGAAAACATGTCGACTAATGTGAGAAAATATTGTTTTCCTTGTTATGTTTGACACTTGTGACGTCGTGTAGAATTGGTCCATTTCTCTGTTGCCACCTTTTGTATTTGAAAATCTATTTGGATTCTCTAGATTACCATTAAATGGGTCAGAAAAAACTTTATTCATGAATTTGGAGAATAATTTGTTGTTTCAGATCTTAACAATTAAGTCAGATCCTTTGTGGGCCACCCTGTACATTGTTCTATGTATGAATTATAGAAAACCTAAATTTAATTTTGATAAATATGTTAAAATGTAATGTAGATGTTTTCAAAATTTAGAAGTTTTAACAGATACTTATAATATTAAATGGCAAAACAATGGAAATGAGTTGGTGACACAAACTCAAATTTTATAATTACTACATCCTTGCAACTTGATTGTGCAAACCTTTGATTTTTCAAGCTTAATCTAGTATAGATTAGCAATGTACGTAATTGGTATTTGTTTGAAGTACCTGTGTAGTTATATGTTTAAATAAATGTAATTTTATAAACTTTATTTTATTATGTTGGGCTCAGTGAAGGTTCAGTAGAAAATACAGATCTTATTTTTATATATCCAATGTTTTCCATCTTATCATTTCCCATCTTTCAAACTTTCCCTTTTTCCCATTTCTTCTTTTTATTTTATCCCTTTCCTATCTTCAAATCTCTCCCATTTTCCCGTATTCTCTATTTTACCATATTCTCAATTTTCTCATCTTCTCCGTCTTCCCATCTTCTTCTTCTTCT